GGGCCTCGGGTTCGGCGGCGTGATCGCCTTCTCCAGCTACAACAAGCGCGACAACAACTGCCACTTCGACGCCGTCCTGGTGTCCTTCATCAACTTCTTCACCTCCGTGCTGGCCACCCTGGTGGTGTTCGCCGTGCTGGGCTTCAAAGCCAACATCATGAACAGCAAATGCGTTGCTGTGTAAGTGGGAGCTGTCCGACAACAAGCTGAGATCAGTTAAAAACTTTGAAAACAGGCCCGACGACCGGGTCTTGATGTTCAGAGTCAGGTTTTTTTTTCACGCTCGATCTTCTGTTGTTTTAGAAACACTAATAAGATTGTGGCGCTGCTGGGGAGCGACATTGAACAGAGCCTGATTCCTCACCACATCAACCTGACGCAGGTCAGTCAGGTCACCGCTGAAGATTACCATCAGATGATACAGATCATCCAGGGGGTGAAGGAGGATGAGTTCCCCAAACTGGGGCTGGAGTCCTGCAGTATTGAAGATGAGCTCAATAAGGTACATGAAAGAAAATAAAGATTTGAGTTTCTTCCTCTTGATTCGTGTAAACTGTTAAAATAAAGTGGTGGCTGTGTGGTCAGCAGGTAGCATTTTGATTATTTTACTAGGAGGATTCGCTCATTTCTAGCCTGAGTGACCAGGCTGGCTAATATTAGCAACACAAGCTGATGAAGTAGTTCTCTCCATTTAAAGTATTTGTCAGTTTGATAATGCTTCGACTAAAATAAGGTTTAAAAATACATGAAGGTCATTCAGTTATTGGATCAGCATTTGGATTTCACCGTTCTCTATCATCCTTTTATTTGCTAAATTGTCATTTTCTCTCATAAACTCTCATTCACAAGACGTTGTGGCTCCCACCACTTCTCATGTGTATCATGTTGAATTGGGAAATGAGAATTAAGAGGAACCAACAACTTTTTCAGTCCAACATCAAACTTCAACGGGACATTTTCACAGCCTTCTGAACCGTTAGCTGCTCTCCTCTCCAACAGCAAATTCAATCTGCAAACATCCTGGAAGCAGATTTAGGAAGAAGAGAAATACATCTGATAAGTTCGTTCCGCTTCCCTCCACCAGGCTGTCCAAGGCACAGGCCTGGCCTTCATCGCCTTCACGGAGGCCATGACCCACTTCCCGGCCTCGCCTTTCTGGTCCGTCATGTTCTTCCTCATGCTGATCAACCTGGGCCTGGGCAGCATGTTCGGCACCATCGAGGGCATCCTGACCCCGCTGATCGACACGTTCAAAGTCCGCAAGGAGTTCCTTACAGGTCAGCAGGAGTGGTCAACGAGGTCTTTGAAACCCATTTTCATGTTGGGTCATATCAAAAATCTGAATGTTTTTAAAGGGCCAGTTGTGCCAGAATATATTGATAAATCCAATTCAGCTGTCAAAATATCAATAAATAGACGTTTGTTTCAGTTATTTGTTGTTTGTTTCCTAAACTGAAATCCCACTGATCAGGATTTCGCTGTGGTTTTTCTAAGAGTTGTTTTGTAATCAAAGCCGCAGATTCTGTGGCAATAATTTAGAAATATTTGTCAGGAATTTCCTCTGTGTTGCAGTGGGATGCTGCGTGTTGGCCTTCTCCATCGGCCTCCTGTTCGTCCAGCGCTCAGGGAACTACTTTGTGACCATGTTCGACGATTACTCCGCCACGCTGCCGCTGCTCATCGTCGTGGTGCTGGAGAACGTGGCCATCGCTTGGTTCTACGGGATCGACAAGTAAGCGCGACACAGACACAGGCCTGCCGGCCCGATTCTTTGCGCTCGCCTTGTAAACACGCTGATTTCCAAGGACTACCAGAATTTCAGAGAAACGAGAAAAGAAGCAAAACCGCGCCTCCTGCCTCTCCACAGATTCTTTGAGGACCTGAGGGACATGCTGGGCTTCACTCCGTACCGCTTCTACTACTACATGTGGAAGTACATCACGCCCATCCTGCTGCTGCTCCTGCTCTGCGCCAGCTTCATCCAGCTGGCCATGACGCCTCCCAGCTACAGCGCCTGGATACAGGAAGAGGTAAGCGGAGGCCCTCCGGCTTCTCCAGAGCAGACGGGCCCCCCGGACCCCCCCTCGCTCTGTGACCCTGGAGCCAGAATGAAAGCAGATTAAAGGGGATCAGAGGGAAGCTGGGCGGTAGCGCGAAAGTACAAAAAACACAAAACTTCTTCGTTTCAGCTGAGAACAATAAACAGGATGTAGAAACACCAAAGCACCTGTGTGATTTTAGAACCAAGTGGAACAAAGACTGAACCAAAGTTCTAAACTTAGTTTTCAGGTTTTTTTGTGTGTGTGTGAGTTTCTTGAAACACATTCACACGTTATATAGTCACGACACGGCAGCAAACTTCAATGTGTCGCGAAACAATGCAAAGTAGGGCAGATTAAGTCAAAGTGAAAAATAAATGATTTTCTAATTTTTTTTTTTAAATTTATTTTGCCAATGAAAATCTCAAAATTGTGGTTTTTATGTTTAGTTCCGTTTGGAAAATTTGCTCCGTCTCACTACACCGTGTTCATCCATTTTTAAGTCCTTGAACAGATTCTCAGTTGGATTCAAGTCTGGACTTTGACTGTGCTATTCAAACAAATGACAGTGCAAATATTTAAAGCAAGTCAATCTATATTCAGTTGGACAAAACAATATATATATATAAAAATATAATATTTGTTATTTTGCTGTCAGTCTGATGTTAAATTGCTTAGAATATAGGTGTGATGCTAATTCGATCCACTAGGCACTTAAGGAATAACACAGACTCTTCAATCTCAGAATGTTGATTTTTTCATTGCTGCTTTTGCTCAAACAAGACATTTAATTTGAATCTTGACCAAGCACTGATTTTGCTGCCTTACAGTGCAAACCTTGTTCAAATGCAGTCTCACGAGCGCCAAGTCTCCCGTTTTGCTATTTTCTGTTGCTCTAATCCCATAGAATCCCAATAAAATACCTGGATGTCTGCGGTTGTATCGTCACCTTGTCACATCTCTCACCTCTTCAGGCCGTAGAGAAGACCCTGCGCTTCCCTCCGTGGGGAATTGTGGTTTGCATCTCTCTGGTGGTGATGGCCATCATGCCCGTACCCGTGGTCTTCTGTCTGCGCTACTTCAACATCATCGACGAGAACACCAGCGGCCTCGCCGCCGTCTCCTACAAGAAGGGCCGTGTCATCGAGGAGAGCCCCCAGCCGGAGGACGACGACGACGACGACGCCAGCCTGATCCACGGCAAGACGCCCGGCGAGGCGCCCTCGCCGATGCCCGGGAAAAGCATCTACCGCAAGCAGAGCGGTGGCGGCGGCACGGAGGTGGACACGGCTCCCAACGGCCGCTACGGGATCGGTTACCTGATGGCGGACGTGCCAGATATGCCAGAGTCGGACTTGTAGACTGACTGCGATAGTTAGCCCCGCCCCGGCCATTTCTCTCCTTCCTCCACCCTTCTGCGTGCTTTAAGTCAGCCATTGTCATTGTTGTACATCATTACTGCACTGTATATTCTTTGTAGATATAATATAGCTGCTCTGTTGTTTGTCGTCTCTGAACCTTATGTGACTGTAAGCCTAAAAATGGTTTTGGAAAAGAGATTATTCTTGTCCAACTTATTTACCTGAATTCGCCCCTAAACTCTGACCCTCTTTAGTTTTGGCCCCTCTTAGTGAACCTGCAGAGCTCAGAGTCCTGCAGGTCTTTTGGGGGTTCAGATCTGCTTGCAGCAAAAAGGTTCTCTCCATTTAGGTCCCTATATTAAAGCATTGAGGTTTGTCCCAGTGTATACACTCTGGATGATCTAAAGACACAAGATGGAGCGCATTATTATTTCTGGCCAAAGTTCACGTCTGCATTGTTAAAACAGTGAGGACGGCGCTTGTATTCCACTCCTATGATTGTCTGTGACAATCACACTCCTATGTGTGACTGAACACACAAGAGTCACTCAGTCATTCAGTGACACCAAGTCACAAAATGACTTAGTGTGCCCATGTCATTTATATTTGTTTATAGAATACATGGTGTACATTTGAGGTATTCTGTCAATATAAATATATTTATCCTGATAGTTTGGATATCAGAGCAGTGTTTTTAAGGTTCAGAGGTACTTTAACTCTCATGTCTTTGTTTTTTTACTAATGTTCTGTCAGTGTTGGTGAGGACTGCGTCCTCTTTGTAAATATTTTTTTCATGAAATGCTTAAATTGCAATGTCTCTTTCCCCCCCTCCTCCAGTTCAAGAATAAAAGTGGAAAATGATCCAAATGTTGACACTTCATCTTTGGCCGGTTTACGTTTGGTTTTGATATCGTGCCAGACGCATTTACTAGCACTTCAGTTTTTACTGAACTCGTATAACCACTGATTATTCGAGGGATTTTTGTTTTCTTCAGTTCAGAACAAATTCTTCGGCTGTAATTTTTAAAATTATACTAATTATAAAACCATACTTAACAGAAAGGTTGTGTGGAGTCAGCATTTCAAGTGGGAACATCCCCACTCCAAATCCAATATGGCTGCCATTTGCAACTTGTTTGAGCCAAAACATGTTGCAGACACGATAATGTACCGAAGCGAAAATGTTGCTGCAATTTTTGACAGAGCTATAGTAGCCAAAAATTGCACAAAAGAAATTTGATATTTTATAATAGGAATACTCAACTAAAAATAATGTGGAAAAACTACTTGGAAATGTAACTAGTTACACGTCATCTCTGGAATTTGAAAGGAAAAATATTTTTGTTTTTCTGCTATCCTAGAATTTCGGTTACCAACTTCTCGCCGTCTCTATTTCAGTCAGCTATCTAACATCTAGAGGTCATCGCTTGGTATCTAGAGGTCATCTGACAGCTAGAGGTCATTCTTAGCTGGGTAACTAGATAAATGAGAATAATTCAACCCACATGACATACCAGGTTGAAAAGCACCAAATGAAGATGATGCATCTTTAGTCCAGACTTTTCACTTCAGTGGTAATTAAAACACAGCAATTGAAAAATTAGTCATTTTAAGGCTTTTTACACATTTTACTTTGTGGACAGAACTGTACACATTGTTACAAGATACACAAAGTAGCGATAATTGTATTATATATAGATATTATTGTTTACACACAAAATAAAGAAACCAGACTAAATGCATGAATCTTAAGTGTAAACGACAAGACAATAAAACCGTAAACAAAATAACTTATTGGCATCACAATGACTTCAGCTATAAGAACGTATGTAAAAAAAACAACAACAAAAAACTCCACAACATGTGCAGAGCAGGCAGCATTAGAACTAATTTACTCATCTATGTTGAGTGGCTTATACTGATAAATATGCATTCACAGACAAATAAATAATCAACCTGACACTTTTTTATGACTTTGTGCTTCCTCCACCCCCCCGCCCCCCATACCGGTTTCCACTTTACACACAGGATAAAATCCATACATGTTTATTGGAAGCAGGATTTTTGTTTTTTTACATCTCCTCTGCTGTCAGACTTCAAACACAAAAGTTAAACAAACTGTCCCTTTACAAAAAAATGTCCTGAAGATTAAAAGTCAGTCATCATCTGATGAAATATGCCAGGTCATAAGGTCTGTTTTGCTGAAGAAAAGACGACCATAAATCTATGACGCGATTCTTCTTCAGCTCCAGACTTTCCCTACTGAATGTCGGAGTCCTGAAAAGTGCGGCTGGCTCGTCAGGCGCTGAGGTAAAACATCCTCTTCAGAGCAGCTGAAGAGTTCGTCCCTTTAGCTGACTCCTCTGTTTAACACAAAACGTTGAGGGGAGATTTCAGTCACTATTCTTGCTGCTGCGACATGAACAACCAGAAGCAAACAAAACATTCACAAAAAACTGGTTTTCTACAGTAAGAAAGATACTTTTCAAAACTTTTGCCTCCACAAACTGGAGGCAGCAATATAATGTTTTGGGCTTTTAATAATAATTTTACATTAGCGATGTTCTATTGTCTGTGACGGAGCATTAGGGCCAGGATGAGACTGGTTTTTCATTTCAAAATAAAAAAAAGTCATAGAAGAATAACTGAATAAAGTCATAGAACAATGAAGACCAAACATAATGAGAATAAAGTTGTAATCATACAAGGGTGATGTCATATTACTGGAATGAGGTCAAAGTAAACAGAGAATTAAGTCATTGTCAGGATAAAGTCATAAAACTAGAATACAGTCATTTTATTATCAGAATGATATCATAATATGAAAAGCGTAAGGTTCTACGTTAGGAGATTAAAGTGGTTATTATGTGATAATTCTTCCAGGAAAAATGAATCAAACACAAAATGTGAATTGTTGAGCATCTTGTATTGCTTTAGTAGGGTTTTTTTTTATTTATTATTATTATTAGTTTTAAAAGTGTTTTTGTTTTGTTTTTTAGCTCAGGCAGCCTTTATTTGCCAGACAGGAAAGTGGGGAATGAAAGCAGGAGAAGACATGCGGTAAAGGTCAGCAGGTCACGACACGAAGCGAGGACCGAGACCGAGCTCCACGGCAGCAACCCGGTATCGGTTTTTAGAAATAAGGGTGCACTCCGTCTGAGCTCCAATTCACCAAATCTTCAGATGAAGCAAACGGAAAGCAGAGGTTAGAACGACGGGAGCGGACTGGGACCTGCGGCTCAGGCGTGATGGAGCTGCTCCCTCATGCCGGCCGCGGCCCGCTCCCTCTTCTCACAGTGCTTCTTCAGGTCTTTGACCTCCAGAGGGAGCGTGCTGCTCCACGCCATCAGCGCCGACTCCTCATCTGAGAGACAAACGCACACAGACACGTGTCACTTTCTGCAGAGAGAGAGCCGCGCAGCGAGGCCACCCTCTTTTTTTTTGTTTTTTGTTTTGTTTTTTACAGAGAAGCGGCGGGGCCAAACGAGGACGCTCACCGTCCCGGTTCTTGTCTCGTGGGAGCCTCCGGCCCAAAACCAGCACCGCGTTCTTCCAGCTCGTCGACTCTGATTGTAGAAAAGAAAAAAGAAGGAAAGAAACATTTGTGCAAAAAAACAAAAAACAAAACAAAAAAAAAACGTTCCACACGGATAAAACTCCCAGTGTGGCTCGTCGACTCGTCTGCACGCTTACGCTCAGAGAGACGGTGAATCGAAAAGCCAAACAAAAAGCCAGCTGCTTCATTTCTTCTGAACCGTTTTGTTCTCACGCTCTCCTTGCTGCACAGCAGATAGGAGAAGCACTGAATGTGAGGCGAGTTAACCTTCAGGCTGTGGAACACAACGCTTCAGGAAACATCGCGTTCTCGCTGGACGTTTGAAAAACAAAACTTAGCAAACTGCCACCGTAATGTTAAACTGTCACGACCAAGCCGTTAACCCAAAAGTTTAATATCCAGTAAATTTCACATGAAGGTCTAATGTTGCTTCATAATCCCAATAGAAGATCATAGAATAGACGTTGCTCCCAAAGAATAAACCTGCACTGCTAAAATACTAAATCTTAAAGATTTTATGTTTTGGTCTAGTTTTTAGTGACGTTATCTGAATAAACTTGAAATAAGACAAAACTAACCCAAAAGTAACTTTTCAGCAAGTTATAGAACCCTGTTTGAAGTAAATAATTAAGTAATATTGATCAAAAATGACTAGTTTTTCCCATAACTTCTTTGTATTTCTTTTAGCAATACTAAGGAATTATTTACTTAAAACAAGCTCTGCGTCTTGCTGAAAAGTTGCTTCTGAGTTAGTTTTGCCTTATTTCAAGTGTAAAAAGATTTCCATAAGAAACTAGACTGAAGATACTTGGTAAGATTTTGTGTCTTTGCAGTAAAATCTGTGTAAAAAGTTGATGACCCACGTATGACTGCAGAGACGATGGCGCGGATGGAGTCGCACGACGGAGCCACCACCTGCAGCACCTGGTGCTTGGAGAGCTCCAGCAGGAGCAGGTAGCCCCCTCTAGTGCCGATCCAGAGCGCTGCGGTGTTCTGCATCATCAAGGCCTTCACCGTGGCCCAGGAGGGCGACCCCTCGGAGAGCGGCTCCGCCCCGCCGCCCCGCCTGTGAGGGACGGCCCGGTTACTGCCCGATTCACGACGAATTGGATCAAAAGTGCAGCGGAGCGTACCTGATGATCTGAGCGCAGTCGATGGAGTCCACCATCCTCTCGCTCTTCTTGTCCCACACCTCCACAGTCGGAGTGCTGGCTTTGCTGAGATACACGTGTCTGTCCACCGCCATGCGGGAGACGCACGCCTCGCTGCTCTGACGCCGCTGCTGGCTGCAGGAGGGCGGGGTACATGCAGCGCCACTGTTACTCCAACTTACGTGTGTGAATATCTGCTGAACCCTTCGTATCGACACTGAGGTCGTATTCATGACTGATTTTTTTCTGCACGATAAATTGTCCCAGAAGTTATTGCGATAAACGATAATATTGTTGTTTTGAGACCGTTTTCAAGTTATATAATGGTAGTGGCATAATGATGCAAAAACACATCCCCAAAGATCGATGAACTTAATTTTATTAAACATTAACGCTGGAACTGGAAGACATTTTAAAGATCCAGAATAAATAAATAAATCAAATATCATTGGGTCCAGACATGAGACTCACCGGAAGATGAGGTTCGGTTTCGTGTCGATGAACTTGGAGACGTCGTAGTCGGCTGAGAAGCAGAGGATCTTGGTCCCGCAGCCGGCCCAGACTGACCTGCTGTCCAGTGAGTGGGTGGACTGGCCCAAACACACGAGCGGAGTGCTGGCATTTCCCACGGTGACGCTTTTCACTGGCTGACCATTCTCCTGCTGGAAGGAGGCGAGCAGACAGCTGTGATCACCATACAACACAGTGGACCCGGCGGTTCCGACTGGATGGTTACCATCAGCACAGACTCCTCATAAACACTCAGAACTCCATCTGCCGTGCCGACAAGCAAGTAATTCGTCCTTTGGCTGCAAAGGAATCAAAAATGAAAAGTAGAAAGAATAATATCATTTTCAACGCATTTGTCTATTTCTAATATACATGTATACATTCTAAATGATCAGGTTTAAGATTGATGAGCTAATTATATTGTTGATTTGAAAGTTTTTAATCAATGAATCATTTTCCTTTTCTCATAAAAACCCATTTGACGATCAGGATGATCTTTTTGGTATTTTGGAAAAAGCTGCAACGTTTCAGGTCTGAGTCGACACATTCATTGTTGTATCATTGTACAAGATGAGTTTTTAAGTCAAAATGCTCTCTAGAGCGCACACACACACACACACACACACACACACACACACACACACACACACACACCACACACACACACACCACACACACACACACACACACACACACACACACACACACACACACACACACACACACAGAATTGTCTGGAGCAGCAGACAAAATTTCCACTCCAGTATCAGCTTCAGTGGTTCTGTAAGGACTTACGTGCGCCGAGGGTGTACATGGAAGTACAGCGAGGTGACGGCATCGGTGACACTCTGCAGGTGGTGATAGGTGGACACGTCCTGGGTGCTGATGACCAGTAAGGAGCCAGACTGCATGCCTGCCACCAGCCAATCACATTCCTCATTTGGGATCTGAACCGTCACGAGGCAAAGGACGGGGCTGGTATCGACCTCCTGTTCACAAAGACGGGAAAGCGTTAAAGTACTTCAGCTTAAAAGAAGTCAAACATGAGGCATCAAGTTTTGGGACCAGTGTTGGTACCTGTGTGGTGACCACGTCGGTGTGCAGGTCCACGGCTGTGACGAAGCCCTTCCTCCTGGAGCTGCTGCCCCCACCGAGCCAGGCTGTCTGGCTTGATGTCCTCTGGTCGCCGCCGCTGCTCATTGTGATGCACTGAGCAGTAAACATGCTGGAAAACTTCACTTCACTTATTAAGCTCAGCATTTCCCCTGAATTCAGCCGGTCAAACACCTGGACACATCACAAATGCAAAATGAACAAATAAAGACGGTAAAAAAGGATTTGATGCATGAAATTGTTTCCTTGTGCTTGGATTCAAAAACCCAGCTGGTACCGGCAGATTGTTGAAAAAATGTAAATTAATATAGCTAAAATGAAGGCCTTAAAATGTCTTAAATTCATTAAAAAATAACTGAACCCTAAATACAGTAATGACAGGTCTTGCATTTGATTGTTTGCTAATGTTTCTTGCAGGACTGTCAGGTAAACGTTTAAGTCAGCTGCAGACATCTTTATTGTGTCCTGTGACTGGAGGCAGTTGGAGCTACAGCTAGCTACCTGCTAACACCCCCCTGCTAGTTCACTAGCTAGCTTTTTTGTGCTTACCATGGATAAATTAGCTGGACGATGTTTGTCTTCGCCTCATTTCTGTTGCCAATACATTCTGTGCAAAAAAGCTTAGCGCTACGAGGGTTAAGTAGGCAGTGAGCCATATGCAGTGTGAAATCCACAAAGGTGTTGTCAAGAGCCAAAAACAGACCCCAGAAATTGAAGTTGTTCTCCCCTGGTCTGGCTGAAGCTTCCCAGAAAACTTGCAGGGGGTTCACTAACCTCAGCACTGCTTTAAGAGTTAAGAGGAGCCTGTTGTGCAACACTGAAGTTAGGAGGTTTAGTGGATTTTAAACAAGGTGCTCATTTGCCCGTCTTATTTTATTTCAACAAAGTTAACACCATGGAGGGAATTACAACTGAGAAGGACGAGAAAAGGAAAAGCTGAGAGCATGGAACAAAAAGAAAATAGAGAAAGAAGAATAAAAGGATCTGTAATTAATGTCTTCAACTAAAGTATGAATATTACAATATCTGTAGGTCTAACAAGTAATGCCAATTATTCTTCGATAGTTTCCCATTTACATATACATATCGATGTAAAATATAAAATTTCCTTTTGTACATTTCTGTCATGATACAGGTCTTAAATTTAATTCCAAATGATCATAAAGGCCTTAAAAAGTCTTAAATTTGAGTTGGTGAAACCTGCAAAACCTTGTAGACTCTATGAGGATCAGACATCCTGGTTCTACCGTGGATTATTTTTACTCTCAAGGACATCTGGAGAACAGCGAACAGCTGTTCAACACCTCACCTGAGCAGAGGTGGGTCGATCCTGTGGGCTTTCCTTCAGACAGTCCATCATCAGAGCCTGGAAGCTGAGCCAAGGTGAGCAGCCATAGTGTTTTACTGGGTCTGTGTAAAAATACATAAATAAACAAATACAAAAAGGTCATTTTTAAAACTATTTTTTGTAAAAATCAGAGGTGGACCCAGAGTCAGACTTTATCTTCACCTGGCAGCTTTCCCTGCACCGCCACTTCATCAAACTCGCTGGGGAACCTCAAGCCCTCCGAGATGCGCTCGCCTTTCGTCAGTAAGTCGTACAGCAGCAGGCCGAACGAGAACACGTCCGCCTGCTGGTTGTAGATCACGTTGCCCCGGGCGACCTCGGGCGCTCGGAAACCTGCCAGACGGAAGAGGAGACCCGTCAAAACTCCCGATTCCAGTCAGCCTGAAACGGCCACAGAGAAGAAACTCTGGCTGACCTGGAGTTCCCTCGGAGCTCCTCACGCCCATGCTACAGCAATACTGAGCGATCCCGTAGTCAGTGATTTTGGCGATGATGTCAGAATCGCTCTTCAGGTTGAAGAGGAGCACGTTGTGGGGCTTCAGGTCCCGATAGATGATCATGGCGGAATGGAGGTACCTAATCATACAGATCAATCACTGACTGACTGACTGGATATCACATTTATCATTCTACGTCAAAAGTTTGTTCATGTGGAGCCAAGACAGAAAAAACTAAATTTGTACTATGAATGAACCTTCTCATAATAATCAAAATTACAAAAGATGTGATTTTCAGGGGATAAGAAAAAAGATCAAATTAAACCTATACACTACATCACACCTTTACCTATTTAAGCCAAGTTTATTTGTGTAGCACATTCAGCATCAAGGCAGTCCACAGTGTTTTACACCATGCAAACACAATTCTGTCTCCAATAATGAAAGACTGGAAACTAGAAGACTGATTGACAGATGAATGGTCCAGAGAATCATTTAGCGTGTTTGTGTTTGACCAGCCTACCTCCCCTTTTTAATATTGACTAGTTATGGAGAATTGTACAGACTACAGAAAGTTTAAATCTAGTGCTGAAGAAGAACAGATACAGATTCCTCAGGCAGTAGCAAGAGGTTTTCTTTGATCTCAAATGGTTAAAGCACATACGTCAAAGAACAGATGATGCAACACTATGGTAATCATGTTTCAATTTGTTGGAAGCTTCAAATTTGAGATTTGTCTGTATTTTCTGCACACAGAGAAAAGGCAGGAAGAAATGAAGCACATTTTGTGAAAAATCAAGTTATGCCATGCCTACAAACTCTGTCTTTCCTGTTGTGTTTATTGTGACATAAAGGTGTAAAATTTATGCTGCTGCTGAGTAGAGAAAGAGTTACTTTTTCATTAATTAATAATCACATAATCTGGGGCTAAAAATTAAATACGTTCCAATCTTTTTCAATCAAAGAGTTTCCAAAAGTAATAATTTACTGAATAGGCAAGAAACACTTAAAAATGCAGGACATATTAGGAAAGAGGTTGATTTTTAGACTTTAGTTGAGGTAGGTGAGATTGGTGGATAAGATCGGCTTCGCATGAGAGTGGTTAAGGAAATATGGCTGACTTATCGACTGGTTGATTTATCAATGTACCCTAAAATTAACCAAATCAAAAAAGTGTATAAGTTAGATATGATACAACGTCCTGATTTTTGGAAACTGAACAACTTCACTTCCACTCTGTAATTTTTTAATATCATTAGGGAAACTTCAAATACAGACTGCAGCTGGTTCTCATATTCCAGTTTTTTTTCTAACTCTGTACCTGAGACCATCTGCCACATGCAGGGCGATCCGGTGCTGCAGCTTCCGGTTCAGGCTGCCATTCTCATGGTTAAACAGAGAGTCCAGAGAGCCTCTGTGAGCGAGCTCCATCACCAGGATCGGAGGAGCGGCGCCGGCGGCCAGCAGGCTCACCAGGCTGGGGTGTCGGAGACGACCCAGGACTGCCAGTTCCTGGAAAAAACAGCAAATGGGTTTCATCTGTGAAAGAAAATGTTTTGTTTTGTTCTACTTTTATGAAACAGTTTTTAATAACACACACACGCAAAAAAAAAAAAAAAAAAAAAACAGTTAATCATCGACTTCTACAAATGTCTAAAATCCAACAATAACATCCATTGCTGTGGCAGAACCCTTCCAGCAGTACCTGTCTGAGGAGTCTGTGGATGTAAAGATCAGAAGCATGCTTGTTGAAAACCTTCACGGCAACTTCTTCGGTTTTATAAATTCCTCGATAAACCGTTCCAAAACCTCCGTCGCCTTTAAAATATAAGATTTACAAATATTAACTTGTTATAGGACAAACTATTTCAGGAGACTTATTTTATGAAAAAAACTAAAAGCTGTACCTAGTCTGTGTTCTTTGGAGAGGTCTACTTCCAATTCCTCCCCATCCAGTGAAATTCCTGCAGGCTGGTCACTCAGCACTAGGTCTGGTGCGATCTGAGAGATCGGAAGCTTGCAGCGCGTATTCTCTGGGTTCACCATCAAGAAATCTAGGATCAACACGTTCTGTTTTTAGTTTGAGTGATGCTGGGATTATGCAATGGGAGTTTTAGAATTCCATTTAGGAAGTCAACTCATATTTGTCAACCAAATATCATCAGAAGAGAAAACCAAAAAGAAGACAATGTCATCGGCATGCATGCTGAATTTATTGTTGGGAATTAAAGGGATGTACCTTCATCAAAATGGTTACAAAGGTCTTCTAGCAGAATCTTCCTCCACTCCTGGCCATCTTCAAAACTGTAGAGAGCCCACTTCTTTAGCAAAGCTTCTCCATTGCCATGTATGTCGGTGTTGAGCAGACCAGAAAACCATTCCTCCAGTACGGAGTCAACGTGGTCCACCACTTGGCCCAGCAACACTCGGCCTGGACAAAAGGAAAACATGGGGAAAACAGGAAGCAATGCTGTCATGGATGGAATTATGTGATTTATCTATAGAAACAGTCCAACAAAATAAAAAGTAAGAGGCATCAAATGGAATAAATTTCTGATGCAAATAACCATCTGGAATTACAATTCTTTTATCATGTTTGAGACCATACAGTATCCTTTGCACCCATGGTACCTTTTTGAGATGAGGGAACAGTTATCCTCACAAAGCTGGAGGGACTCTGCTCCTCTGAAGCAGCCTCCATCAGACAGTACGCGTCAGGGGACCAGTTCAGGTAAATACCTCGCCTCCAGTAAATACGGTTGGGTCGAAGCACCTTTTCTGGAGAGGAAAAAAAGTGACCAGATTAATAGCGACTGTCTTTCTTTCCCGGGAATCTTAAACTGCTGTCGCTGATTCCCAACATTTGACATCTGTTAAGTGGGTCTACACTAAAGGAATACTGAAGGAATTGAAGTGGAGTTTGAGGAACATCAGAATCTGTATTTATGTCACTGCTGTCGTGAACAGCGTGTATTAACTGTACCGTTACTATTTTTAATGTTCTTGTGTCATTTACTTAATTTTTTTATTTTAAAAGGTCAACTGACCATCCAGGAATTAAATGCCAATGTTCACACAGTGCCCTCAGGAGTTCAGATCAATATTAGATCATTTTTTACTTTCAGTTTCAAGCATCCAACATCCAAAAGGTGAGTAAAGCATCTGTGCAGTATAGCACTGAACAGTGGAAACCAGGTTTACCATATGTGATGATCAAATTGTGTGTGCTACAACGTCAAATATGTATTACAAAGACTGGAGATCATTATGTTCCAACATTAAGACAAAATGCAGAAAGCAGCACTGATGCTAGCAGCCATTGTTGGATTTACCTCTTCCACAGAGCAAATACGAGGATACCTCTAACAGACGACTGATCTGCCTAGACCAGAAGTCCATGGGGAAGTAGGGCATCTCATACAGACGTACAATCATCTCAGAGTTTTCACAGTGAGGTAGTTCTATAACTGGTCTGTGTTTGGACAAACTGTTTAAAACAGAACAAATCAGAGAATACCACAATCTTGGCAGTGCTATGTGGATGTATTTCCAAATAAAGAAATCCTAATGTACCTGCTGGGTACCAGTAGCTGGTCCTCACCAAAGGGAAGGGCAATCTGAAACTTCTCCAAAAGTTTGAAGAACTGGAGCATGTGGCTCTTGGGGAAACATTTGGTCTCCAACAGAAACCTTTCCACAGCAGATCGCTGGACCACTCCCTTTGGTTGCTCCAAGAGGCCACAGCTCTTCAAAGTCAGTTTCTGCACACAGGACAGACATGTTTGAATGAACTGAGCTCTATGGAAAAGCAACTACATTGCTTCATTTGCATATAAACACTGAATGGTAAAAGGTAACTTTCTTGAAAATAGACCTATGGTGAAGAAATTCATGTATGAAAATAAACAGAAAAGACCCGAGATTTGAACTCTGCCGAACACCAATTCCACTGGTAGGCACTCGTCTGCTAAACAACTTATAGCAGAACTAATTTTAAGTTCAGTGCTTTACCTTTTTTTTTTTTTTTTTACAAACTTTGATAATGCTTAGCACACTTAGCTTCCTCTAAATAAATTTTTCTGCTAAATACCATGCTGACACAGCATGTTAGTGCTAGACCTAATGTTTGTGAGTGGTACTAGCGAAACAAGTCTTTAGGGCTAACGCAACAAAATATGTTATATGTTATATGTGCCCAAATCTAACAAGCTACAAAATATATCAAATATATCAAAATTTGCCATTGCAATGTCAATACAATATCAGTATTTATATTAAAATATCTGAGTTCCCTGAATTCACTTTGTATGCCAATATTATACTTGATCTGCTGCATGCAGTTGATGCTCACGTTTGATTTAGATTTTATGTCACAAAAAAGTGACTGTACTGATTTAAAATATAAAATATTGAGTAAAATATTAATTAATCGCAATCTATATATAGGTTCTAACACATAGTGCCCTGTTGATAGAGGATGATTTCAGTGTCATAATGTACAGAGAGGGAAAAATGATGTACTTCACATGCTTACCTGAGACAGAATGTTACACAACCACTGTGGATTGATAAAGTAAAGTTCTTGAAGTTGTAGAGCAGGGTCGTCAAAGTGTAATAAAACTCCTAAAACAAAAATAAATTACAAACTGTTAGAGTGAGGGCTTGTATTTCATTAAAGCACAAAATATTTGCTGTACAAAAATTCATTTTACTTCAACAAGAACACGGATTTAAACAGATTTTAGACATTGTTGTTATATTCTGGAAACTAGTGTTAGTGTCAGAAATAAAGTCCAGTTCTTAACTGACCCACTTCACTGAGGAAATGGATGGCGTGGGGGAGTTCGGCTTCCTCCAGCTGCAGCTGGCTCTCCTGGATGAGCTGCAGAAGCTTGTCATACCTGAGGACAGGAAACTCTGGCGGGACTCTGCTCCTCTCTTGGAGAATTCTGCGCTCCAGCTCCACGTAGCAGTCTGGTACCAACTGACCCATAACCTGCTGGCCCTGGATCTGAACAAACAGATGAGGTGTGTGTTAAAGGGGCAGTACTATGTGTTTTCCAGGCATATTTATAGCACAACCAATTAATTATGTTGCCTTCAGTTTTAATAAAATCATATATATATATTTTAAATATGACTAAATATATATTTTCGTGTTAGCCCAGACTTTGTCAGTCTATGAGGCAAAAACTTGGAAAATGCAGCTAGAGGAGGAGCTTTGTCCTTGAAGGCGGGGCTAAGTCCATCCATGTGGTTTGCACAGCTGAATGGTTGCCATGGGAGATTAAAAGAGCTTTCAAACATGCATGAAAGAATCAAAGCAACACTCCAGATATGCTATTGATGAGGGAATAACATTTTAAAAACTATTAAAATTGCTAAATGAGATGCTGAGGTGGTACAGGAGTAAAGCAAAACCCATGTGTTGAAGCCTTAGTCCTCAACCTGAACGTCACAGGTTCGAATCCCGACCTGGTGACCTTCACCGCATATCGTCCCCCTGTCTCATTTCCTGTGTGAGCTCTCAAATAAAGGCCACTTTTTTTTAAACAACTTTTAAAAAAAAGCGCTATACAAGTGTGATATAATTTGATTTCATATTACATGATGTACAGCTCAATAAAGTTGATTTTACAACAATGTAACAATGTAAGTAGTGGGGTGGCTGCTCAGATACCCGATTTCAGGTTTCTTTGCCTTTACCTTGAAGTTGGTGACCTCTCTGATGACTGCCCTGCGGAGTTTGGCAATGGAGTCTGAGTCCTCGCAGAGCGAGACCATGTGACAGTCTCTGATGGCCGAGAAGCCCTGGTGGTTCAGCAGCTCCTCTCTGATTTTACTCCGACATGACTGGATCTGCAGCTCCTCGCTCACATCAGTGTGGGTTCCAACAAGGATGACTGGAGACAGCGGAGCCATTGCCTGAGAAAAAAACAACAACACAAATGGATGTGTTGGGGAAAATGTGATAAAATAAAATGTATTGTGTGTTTAGCGTGTGGCTCACTTTAATGTTGAAGAGCCAGGGCTTAAGGGCGTCCACCTGACTGGGTCCCTTACTGAGGTCGTAGACGACCAGATAGAGCGCTCTGGATGTGAGGAAGAGAGGATGAGAGCCAGTGAGCTCCTCTCCACCTGTGGAGCAAACAAGATTATAACTGATGTGACTCTAAACTCCTTTTACTTGTTGTAAAATGGCAAGTTTTTGTTAAATGAAAACATGAATAAACATTTATTGGGGCTGAAAAAGGTGTAATAGCCTGCTTGCATAAATGTGCACACCCTTACACTAATATATTTTAAAGAACTTTGATTCAGTTTAAGCATTGTGTCTTCTTTGGTAAGAGTCACCTTCCCACATTTTCACTTGGGAATATTGTCCATTCTGTTTTGCAGAGGTGAAATTATTCCATTCTTGACTTTGAGTGAGTTCTCAGACTTTATGTGATGGTAAAAAAACGCAAACTCTGTAACCTGAAAGTGGAGATTTGGGGTCAAAACAGACTGGCTTGTGAAACTTTTCATGATTTCATTCATCTTAACAAAAAACTCAGTTCCATCTGATGTCAAAACAATCCCACGCCTTGAAGACACCGTAGCACCAACAGGTTTTTTTCTTTCTTTGTTTTAGGCTTTTTGTGCAACCAAAAAATATTAGCTTGCTTTCATTAGATCACAAGATGTTTTCTCACAAGTTTTTACTATACCACAGGTTTTCTAAGGAGGAAAAGGACTGTCTTTGACTCTTCTTCTTAGCCCTCTTCACAAGACAAGAGGTTCTTGTCACAAAGAAAGAGTACAGAAATACTAGAGGTTTCTTCAACGTTCCTGTCATATCTTAATATATGATTTTTTTGTAACTTCTCTGCAAACTATGGTGTCAGCTAGACAATGCAAATGAGCAGATGTCATAAAATTCCTTCCAGGATAGCTGAACTGTACTTTAAGTCAGGTTCATTATAAGTTTTATAAATATATTCCCAGAAAAATGAAGTCTTTCACACGATTTTGATCCATTTCCAAAAACATATGAGTGAGCACACTTATTGGATTCAGGTTACTGCACCTTTATATGTCTTTCCCCCATCCAAATTGTTAGACAAGCAGCACTTCCTCCGTTTTTTGCCCATATACATTTCTCGTTTGCGATGTGAGCCAACCTGAGAAGTCCCAGACGTTCAACAACATTTTCTTGTCCCGTTCCTTGATGGTCCAGTCGAAAACGTCCACAGCGCTCTGCTTTGAGTTCAGCTGGGACCGCTTCACCTTCATCAGCTGCCTGATGAGGGTGGTCTTCCCGCAGCCGGTGGTCCCTACCACGATGAGCTTAACGCGGTGGTACGGCACTGCTTTCTTCAAGCGCTGCTGCAGAAACCTGGGAAATGGGAAACTACTTGATTTTTTGAGAGTACACAACAAAAGCACAAGGTGCAAATATCTTTGTACACTTCAAATAAGACAAAACACACATGTTATAAAGTTAGTCCCTCATCAAAAACAAACATGGAGCTCGCCCTGCCTCCTTGGAGCTGCAGTTTCCAAGCTTCTGCCTCACAGAGCTGCCCTCTCCCATGACTCTCCCACTCAGCTTCTTCAGACTAGCCACCAGCAATTAGCAAACACCTGATGGAACTGCACATCTGTTTATTATACAAGCTTCTTCTCAGTGTTATGCTGGTAAAAACATTGTTAAAGAGTTAATAGAGGAGCCATGTTGTGGTGACTTCCTGAAAGCAGAGCTTCAGAAAAAGCAAGTGTTTTTAAACAAGACAGATTTCCAATTTCAAGGTGTTAAAATACAAAGTCAAATTTCTTTAGTCATATTTGTTATAGCCTTTTTAAAAACTGAAGGTAACATAGTTATTTGACTGTGCCTGGAAAACATAATAGTGCTTCTTGAAGTCAATAGTTCTGTAATAATAATGAAAACTACAGGCTGCAAGTGAAATAATCTACCACTGGAACTTGGCTTCTAACATGAGAAAAATACCTTGTTCAACTAGCAGATTAATTCACTTATAACTAGTACTTATCAATATCAAGGAATTATTTAAAAAAAAAAAAGTTCTTGTATCTTGCTAAAATGTACTGACAAGTTAGTTCAGTCTTATTTCAAGTGTACTCAGATATTTGCACTAAAAACTAGATCAAAAACTCTGTAAGATTTTGTGCTTTTGCAGTATAAGTCAGCGGTGCCCAAAGTGGGTTCTTGAGGGCCGGCATCATGCTTCATGTTTTAGTTCTCTCCCTGGTGGTAGTAACAACCTCCTCACTGTGTCAATGTTCTTTGTAGGTCATCAATTGATCCAGGTGTGCTAAACCAGGGAGAGAGCTAAAACATGCAGGATGCTGGCCATCAAGGACCAAATGTGGACATAACTGGTGTAAGTGAAGTTTATATTTAGAAATAAGAACGCTGCTGACCTGACTATGTCTTTGGTCTTGTTGCCAATAAGTTTCAGATCCAGGTCCAATTGAAGGCCATCTAGAGGCAGGTCCCACAGTCTCCCCAGCTTTCCCATTTCATCCGGAAACGACCTCAGTCTGGCGTTCCGACTCACATCCAGAGAGTTTAGGCCTTCCAACAAGCCGATCTGCGGCGGGATCTGCATGGGAACAACACAAAGTGTTTAAACGATGTTCTCCTGTTCTGGAATCTGCCATAAATATTCTTCATTTCTGCAGCTTCACCTCTTTAAGCTTGTTGTCACTCAGATGGAGTTTCTCCAGTCTGGCCCATTTGTAAATCGGTCCACTCAGATCCAAACCTTTGATGCTGTTCTGACTAAACATTAGCTCCCGGATGTTGTGGGACACCCAGCACCCCGGACCAGGTAGAACGTCGATGCAGTTGGTCCTCATGTCCACTGAACGTAAGCTGGACAGAGAGAAAGAGAAGAGTACTGCAGAATCCTCTCATCTGACTATTACACATGAGAAGATGTTTTATTTTTCAGGGCGTACTTTGGTAGATTCAGTATGGTCTCAGGAACGTGAGTGAACTTGTTGTTAGCCAGTTTCAACGTTGTGACCTTGGCTGGCAGCTGGGAAAGGGAACCTGGACAGGCATAGGTAACATCTTCTGATTTATTTATATCAAATAATATGAATGTAAAGTGAATGCAACTGAATCACTAAGGGATTTAAACCCAGACCCACAAAAAATATCTTCACTTGTCAGAAAATGTCTTGAACAAAATTTGAGATCTGTGTCGAAGCTGTGATTATCGAGTTAAAAAAATTCTTCAAGTAGTTAGACGTTTACATTCATGCTCTTATTTTGAAATAAGAGCGAAGACATTTAACGGAGCAAATCCGTTTCCTCTCCTCTCTGTTTTTCCAAATAACTATTTCAAACAAGAAACATACAAGGGCAAAAATACAGACATTAGAGAAAAATATTGAAACAAATAAATAGAACACGCAAATCATGATGTTAAAATTGAACTGCTTCTCAAGGGTTGTAGGGCATAGAAAATTTGAATTGAAGTTAGCATTTTAGCATTAGTTTCTACTAAATATCTTGTTGGTATATTCCTGTAGAGTTAGCCAAATTAATGTTTACGATTAGTGCTTTGGGGTTAGCGCAATTAACTTTTTATCTTAATGTCAAACATTTAGTTCCTCACGTTAATGGTGTACCTACTTGGAAAGGTTTCCTGTGGAAATACAACTTCATCTCAATTTCTATAGAAATACAGATTTCTACAAATTATGTTCCTGCTTAAATAGCTAACAGAATGAAACATACTGATGACACAACTAAGCATCTGCAAAGGTCTTCACCATACTCCTGATTGTTGATTGCACCTTCCACCTTCACATAATTTTTGCTTGAATCAGTTCAGTGTCTGTCCACATTATCAAAAAGTATCAGTCATTCTTGACAGTGCAAAAAAATATCTATCTCACATTAGTACTTACATATTTTGTTGTTTGAAGCATTCAACGTTTCCAGTTTAGGGCAGGTGGTCAGAAAGTCAGGAGAAATATTCTCCACATTATTCTTGCTCACATCCAGCAGCTTGACTTCCGGGAGATAGAGAGCGGAGCACAGCTCAGTTAGACCGTTGCTGGAAAACAAAACAAAAGAAAAACATGTTTCCAGGGAGCAATTTTTTACATAATCACCTTAATAAAATATAATAGCCAAAAGCGTGTGTGCGCGCATGTGTGTGTGTTTTCTGTTCACAATAGCTATGCTTAAGTTATGTTTTGCCAAAAGTGCAAAAGGAAATGTTTAATAAAATGTCACCATCATCATCTTTATTTAAAGTGCATTTTAACACTGCTACAGCTGAAACAACTTGTGAACTACAGTCACAAGTAAGAAAATAAATCAGAAAAACAAATTGACTAAATTAATTGAAAACTGTGTTAAAACGTTAAAACAAAAGAGTTAAAAAGATACAATCAATACCAAATATGAAAAACATTAAAGGACAAAACACGTTTGTCCTTTTGAACTTAAAATTTAAAACTCCATAAAGTCATTGTGAAAAGAAATCTGACTCCACCTTACGAAACGTTTGAAATATAATAAGTATTTTGGTTTTGAACTCTATAAAATGACCGGTTTCCCAGACAGCTCACCTGTCCATAAACAGCTCCTCCAGCTTTCCCATGGTCCGGCCCAGCTCATAGGGGAATGTGGTGATTTTATTGACTGACAGATTGAGCTGCTTCAGTGAGGGGCAGGTGACAGCCGGGTCGAAGGTCAGCACGGGGCCAATGCAGTTACGGGAGACGTTGAGCGTGCTCAGTGAGGGAAGAGCCAGCAGGTCGTCTGGCAACGAGCGAAGCTGGTTACCCTGCAGGTCCAGACACGTCAGACTCTTCAAACTCTGCGCCAAAACAAAAACCAAAATGAGAAACTAGAGCCAAGAGTCAAATTCTCCTCTGTTATATGACCTAATTATAATATTTGGCTGAAATGCATTACCTGGCAGATGGCAGAGGGGAACTCCAGCAGAACGTTGCTGCTCAGGTCCAGGCGATGGACGTGCCACAGCTGCTGCTGGACAACAGCATCGTCAAGGAAACAGGACAGGGAGTCTAACTCGTTCCCTGACAGGTCCAGCAGGCGGATCCTCTCTTTTTCTTTGAAAAGAGCAGTGGAGTTCTCACCAGAGCCCAGCACTGAGGGCGGCGAACCAGAACACAATTACACTGTGTTTGAAACCATTAATTAATCAATTGTTGAGGAAAATCGTTGAGAAACTAATTTAGTAATGGATTACTTGTTACCTCAAAAAAATTTATCAATTGCAAAAAAAAAGAAAAAGAAAGAAAAAACAACATATTCAGAGGAGTAATTAAGTATTTATTGCAATATAAGTACATTTTGGAGTTCAAAATGCTTTGTTATTGCATTTTTTGCAATAAAATATTTTCTTTTTTGAAAAGTAGTTAAATTATTTATTTAGTATTGCACAAAAAATACTCAAATGGTTAAATGACCATTTCTGCACCCAATTAATCGATTAATCATCAAAATAATTGATATAACAATCTAATTACTAAAATAATCACTATTTGCAGCTCTAAATTACACATTAACATTGGCTACGATTGCAGATCATTTTTCTGCTGTATTTTTACGCTCAAGTGTTTTGTCTGGTCAAATGAAACAACCAGACAAAACAAATTACATGGATAAATATGATACAGAAAATATATTTTTTCTTTTTTTCCCTTTGGACAGACTTACTTGGCTTAGAGTTTCTCCGTGTGTATCTTCTATTAATCGATTCATTATTTTCATTTTCAGGTTGAGGACTCTGCATTTGTATCAAACAGATGAAAAAGAAGACCCTCAATCCAACGCCGCACAAAGTAAAGCAAGCAAGGAAATTGAACTGTAACGAGTGTGAAAGAATGAACGTCAACTCCCAGGGCCGACCTCTGCACTGGAGTGCCTGTGACGTCCCTGCTTCCTTTTGAAGAAGTCTCCCCTGAGCTCCTCTACTGAGTTGTTTTTTGACTTTGGAGACAGAATCCCAGACACTGAATCACTTCCTAAACCAAGTCAAGAACAAAAGAAAGAAGGAATTTGGCAAAATCAACACAAACAGTTTCTATTCATATCCAACAGTGAAATGAATAAGTATACAGGATTACTTTGCTTCTCATCTCTGTTGCGCTAAGGCATTCCAGATGATTAAACAAATACTAATATTAGACAAACAGAAGTAAATAGAAAAAGCCCATCTCCCTATTTATATCTTCAACATTTACTATATTATACATATATATATATACACACACAAACACGCACACACACATATCCCCTCAAATATCTCTATTTAAAACAATTTTATAATAAAGACTTGGCCAATATTCCTTCATAGCAGTATAAAAGACTCACTTCCAACAATGACACAACCAGTTATTATATTTAGGGGCAAAGACTTTTCAGAAATTGTCAGTTTGGTTTGGATAGGTTTTTGTTTTCTTCTTAAGAAATTATAAACGTGATTTAAAAACAGATTTTGTATTTACTCAAGTTATCTTTATGTGATACAGAGAAACAAATAAGTAGAAGAAAAAGAATTTACCATCACTCTCTATTTCGTCATTCATAAACAAGCTGTCATCCATGGACACGGTGCTGAAGCTAGAGTCATCGCTCTCGTCTGAAATGTAGCCGGAAGTCAGACACTGGTCTGACATGGGTCTGGAAAAACCGCTGACGCTCTTGGACCTCTGCAGGGACTGAATGTACCTGGCCAAGGTCACACCTTTACCTTTAAGAGTGACAACAGAACAATCAGATAGAAGCTGTGCTGCTGATTTCAACATTAGAACAATTTTTTCAAAGCTGTGAGATAACAGGAAACACTACTGAGACAGAATCTGCAAATGCTTCTCACTGCTATAGCGCAGACTATATGCCCTGCCCCGTTCAGCCAGCAGGGGGCTCAGCCAAGCGGCGTCCAATCTGCCGAGTCGGAAGCCTCCCAGACAGAGGGCGCTGTTGTTGAAGTCCAGACCGAGCCGGCTGAGCAGCAGGATGACGATGGGCCCGTCGGCCCTCTTCACGCTCACGGCCAGAGCTCTGCGGAGTTGCTGCTCCGGAGCGCCTCTGCTCAGCAGGAGCTCCACCAGCTCCAGAGGACCTCCTTTCTCACACACCTCAAAAATTCACAAAATAGCATCATCACCGCATATCACATCTACCAAAACTGACCTGAACCAACAGCAAAACGGTTTTAAACTAAGATTTTTAGCGGCTAACCTGTTGGATGAGAGACTCTGTTTTTGCCTTCCTGTTGATGTCGGCGCCCAGCTCAATGAGGCACTCTGCCATCAGTGTGTTGCCATCCATGCAAGCTTTTTCAAGCATGCTGTAGTGTAGCTCTGAGTCGCTCCACATCTTGGACAATGCCAGACACACAACTTTCCGCAGCTAGTGGAAAAAAAAAAAAAAGAGTCATGGTTAGAAGAAGATACTTCAGTTACATAGGGTTTTATGGCTTTGCTCAAAAGATGCCCAGCCGTTGTTTATTGGAGGGTTTACTCTACTACAGCACGTCACAATGCAACACCAACTGCCTACGGGAATAAACTTACTGGACTGACGCTCTGATCCCTCTCCTGGATAAGGTGCTGGAAGATCTGCCTGTCGAAGTCTTCTCTCTGCAGTTGAGCTGCTGCCCCTGGGCAGGCGTCCAACATCCTCAGGGCCACCTGAAAACACTGGGAGATCCACATTTCAAACACTGAGGGTGTTTTCACACGAGATAGACAAGTCCGGTAGACTAAAATAATGACATTTGTTACATTTTCAGCTGGTACAGTTTGCTTCCACAATGAACTGTGTCAAACAAGCCAAACCGTTTGAGCAACGTGTTCCTCCTCCTCTCCAGGGATGGCGCTGCACCCTGAACCACTGAACCACATGCCACAAAAACCTCTGAAGAAGATAGTGAGCGCAACTTCCGTATTCACGAAATATAAACAAAAACAGAGTGGTGTCAGATTTTAGTGGTGGTAGGATTTCTATTTGGGAAGAGATCATGAGCCATTTTTTCCGCTAGATTTGTGCGTTTGTTTTGGTTGTATTCACCCATGTCATGTAATCAGCAATAACGTCCATATGTTATCCATGGGCTTGGATAAGTCACCTCATACTAGCCCAAGAACTTTTTATCAAAGCATTTTTCCCCCTCATTTGCCATGTTCCCATGAAGCAAACTTAATTTTGTAATTCCAATTTGCCCAATTTTATGGTCAATGGAAACACAGCTACTGAAAATGGGCAAAAACTACAAACTAGTTCTAAAACAAATAGATGAAACCAACAATCTGGAAAGTAGCTTCAACAAATTGTTGACAAGAAATATTGCAATAATTTTTCACCTTTTAGGTCTGAAGAGAACCATAAGGAATGTGACAGTAGAGTGTGATTCCTTCCTGCATGAACCCTAATTCATGAGATCTTCAAGTGGAAAGCATCAGATTGCTCATTTGTGCTGTCCTGTTCAAAAGATCACAGGGTGCTTTTTAAGAGCTCACATATTAGTTTCTTTAGATACTAATATGCTTCCACAATTGTTGTGCATAAAATGCACAACAACCATTGTGCATTTTATTTGAGCATTTCAATCACCAGACAGCTAATTAACATGTCTATTGATCTAAATGGCTCACCTTCAGCACCATCTCAGAATCTTCTTTGTACTGAGTTAAGGAGGCGACCACAATGGAGGCCAGGACTGGTACAATCATCCTGGAGAGCTTCTTCTTCATCACGAGGTAGTTAAGCAGGGTCAGACCCCAATAGTGTATCTCTAGGAGGAATTGGAAACATCAGATTATCAGATTTAATCTTTTAACAGCTTCCTTTAGTTTATCATATTTGAGTTGGAAGGCTTCAGAAACAGAATTAATGAGGAGCATAGAGACTAGTTGTAGACCAGACACTGGCTTTAACTAGCATGTATCATGCTCAAGAGCCTAATGGTTGACAGTGCAAATAAGCAACACTTCTGTTTAAACACAGCTTAAAACGTCACTCTTACTTTCCAGTGCTAAGATTTGATTAGCCAGAACTATTTTCTGGCTATTGAACTGAAAAAAAATAATGACTATTATTTATAGTTACTAGAGAGAAGTGTTAGCAAATGCAAGACCGGAAATCTAGAAATCTAGAAATCTGCTTGCAAAAATATACATAAACCAGAGTAAATCCAATTGTGTATCAAAACCTTCACAGACTTATATAGGACTATAAAATTAGTACAATTTATCTTTGTTTCAAATCAAATTTTATTTGTATAGCACATTTCAGCAGCAATGCATTTCAAAGTGCTTTACATCATGACAAACACAAAGTCATGGAATGTAGAATCAACAATTAAATCATGACGTTAAGTCAAATGCCATTGTTAAATTTATTATGTTTCCAAAAACAACTCTGAACAGGTGGGTTATTAGTCGAGATTTAAAGGCACTCATTGTTTCAGCTGTTTTCCAGTTTTCTGCAAGTTTGTTCCAAATTTGGGGAACGAGGAGCAGCAGCTGAATGCTGCTTCTCCTCGTTTGGTTCTGGTTCTGGGGTTGCAGAGTAGAACCAGGATCAGAAGACCTGAAGGGTCTGGAAGATTGATACAACTATAACATATCTTTAATGTAATGTGGGGCTGAGCCATTCAGTGATTTGTAAACTAACAACAGTATTTTAAAGTCTATCTGCTGTTATGTGCTCTATCTTTCTGGTTTTAGTGAGAACGAAACCATGACTAAAGTTTGTTTTAGTTCATTCTGATTTATTTCTGTCAAAGGCAATGATATACCTCGATCCTCTGGGAACGCATGTAGTGTATGAAGCACAGTGTCTATCGCCCCCTGCTGGCACAACAGATCCACTGCACCTGAGCAATCAGCCAGGGATGATAGCACCTTCAGGCCGCACTGCTGTATGGCGGGTCTCCTGATAAACTACACAAACATACACACACAAAGAAATCAATATTTACTCCAAGAACCAAGTAAAAGCTTGATTTAAAAATAAAAAAAATATTCAGAATATTGAGAGAGAATTATCCTGCGTACCCTGTTGAGGGCTTCCAGGTAGAGTGTGTGAGCCCCTTCCACCACACACTGGTTCTTCAGGACTCTCAGCGACACATCGGCCATGTCGGGATCCGTGATGGAGGAACCATTCTCCCTTAAACTCCTGTCTGGAAATTCCCACACAGTGAGAAAACAAGTTCAGACAAAATAAAGGCAAGAAAACATACAAAGTCAGAGGGAGAAAAAAAACCTCACACTGCTCAATGACTAATCTAATTAAAACAGCACTGTGGACGGCTTTCTTAAGCAGAGGCAGAGAAAAACAAAGCCGCAGTACTGAATCAGCTTTGCATTCCTCCTCCAAACAGAGAACATGCTGTAAAAACATGTTTCATTGAAACATGTACAGAGACTTCTTTTGTCTTGTTTGCAGAAAAATGAAAACATAAAGCAGTTTTCAAGAGCGCAACATATCACACATTAATTATATGCTCTTAAGACTGAGTGGCCTGATCCTGGTCCATGTTTAGTGTTTATGTTGTGTCTTAAGGCCATTTTCATGAAATATCAGAATATCTGAATTGCAAGTAAGACATGCAAAATACAAAATTGTAGAAATCAAGAAAACAAAACGTAGTCTGCTCCATAAAAAAGTGCGTCTTACAATCTATCCTCCCACACATGGACAAAAATAAATAAATAATTGCCATTCATATGGAATGTGTGGCGGTCATTTCAGAATTCAGTCATTTCAATAACTGTATTTGCTCTTCTTTATCTAATTTTAATAGTTTCATTGCTTTGTTTTATGTTACAACAGCAATACAATTGTGTTGAGACAGACAACATTTCCTGTTAAATTAGTTGTTGGTGCAATTTTGCTGTCATGTTTTAGTACCGCTGTCTCATTTAAGTTCTTTGAGAGAAAGAACTTGCATTATAATCTTATTATCTATATATTACTTGAAAATTGGTCTCAAAACAACAATATTATCGTTTATCACAATCATTTCTGGAACAATTTATCATCCAGTAAAATTTGTTATCATGACAGGCCTATTCTTATTGTCCTGAAATTTGACCACACTGTGATATTTTCTGTATTTTTGTAATGAGTTTGTATATTTTGCTGTGGTTGTCCCACCAACAGCAATGAATTACCTTGTCAGATAATCTATAAAGTAGCACCTGAGCTGTGAATAAGCCTGCTAGCATCTTACCTGGGCAAAGGAAGATCAGACTGGCTTCCAGTGCTGCCAGCTGGACTTCTGATTGGAAGTTGTGGATCTTCATGATGGTGAGGATCTGACTCATGGCCATGTTCAGCTCATCCAGGCTGGCGGTCCTAGAAACACAAGGACCGCTTCTACTAACAAACCAACCAGAACTCATGGGAACTCGACACTCAGCACACAATTCCAACCCTCTGTGAATGTCAATGCAATTAACAAACTGCATAGATGAAAAGTAATGAAAAATAGAAAGAGAAAATGTTCACTTATTTAGTTCTATTCAGAAATATTTTATTTCACAGCCACTTTGAGAAACACTGGTGAATGACTGCTTTTTGTTCGTTGGGATTGTTTCTGTTACCATTGAGGATGTTTGTATATGCAAATGTTCTAAATTATTATTGATAAGATGAGTGCTGAGCTGGCCATTTTATGTTTTAATTGTTAAGACTATTTTTGTTCTGAAACTAAGAAAATACTTTTTATACCAATGGGAAGTGAAATGTACCTCACATTGCTCTTTAGTGGCAATCTGTTCTTTGGTTGTCAATTTAATAAACATACATTTTGTGTACTGATGTATTTTTTTTCTTAGCAAAGAAATGATCTGTATTCCTTTATTTTAATAGCTGATTCATTTAAGAAAAGGAGACAGACACAAACTCATCATCTTTTAAAATGTTTCGCAACGTTTCAGTCACCTTCACTTTCAAAGAAACAGTCTAAAGGTAAAATCACTTCCTGTTTAAAAAATGTCTGACCAATCACATCCAATCATCAAGACATACAAAATTATAGATGCCAATTTGAAATCAAATCCCATTATCTTGTAATTGTATAATTTCAAATCAATGTTGAACTTTGACAAAACTTTCCTATTCATAAGAAATATTATGATAAAGGATATCATCTGAGAAACAATCTTTCAAAAATAAATAAACACTAAAGACAATTTACAAACAGCAGGCTAACCCATATTTATGACTTTTTATTTATTATTATTTTTTAGAAAGCACTGATATTTCAACTTCTGATCCTGAAGTCTTGCACATTAGAATGATGACTTTACTCAAACATTGTAAGTTTTTTTTTTATGTATTTTCCTTTAAACTTTGGCTTTTGGTAATATTTCTAAAAAACAGAATATTTTTTGGTCCAAACCTTCCGTGGAAAAGCAGCTTTAACAACTTGCAGGCGCTGATGGAAACTTCTGCTGAGCTTCCATGTCTCTTCATCATCTCTACCAGATTGACATGGAGGCCACCAGACAGCAGCACGAAGATCATTTTACCTGCAAACAAAGCAGACACTTCCTATAGAAGCCTTTCGCCAAAGAATGAAGATAAAACCTAAATGAGGCAGTTGTGGTGAGCTGAGCCAAAAAGCAAAGCTCTGAATTTACTGGTCTGTCTACATTCTGGACTTCCCTTGTGCAAGTGGCCTCAAACTGCACTCCTCGAGAGTGCAAAAGTGTCTTACACATTTGAATTAAATGATAAAACTGCTTAACTAGCATGAAGTGAAGCACTGCAGAGCTCTGCTCATGAGCTAAGATCGGAGCCATGTTTGCTGAACCAATGGGAAATGAAATGTTCACTTATTTAGTTCTATTCAGAAATATTTTATTTCACAGCAACTTTGAAAAACACTGGTGAATGACTGCTTTTTAATTGCTTTTTGTTAGTTCCTGCATCTAGTAGTTGCAGGAACTTGGGCCTTACAGAGACTAGTTTGAGACCATTGCACTATAAGTATTAAATATGAACTATAACAAAAAAAATGAGCTCCCAGACATGATGCTGGCATGCAAAAATGCTCTGAGGTCATCACAGAATCCATCACTGGTCTTCAGATTAGTTCAAAGCCAGTGGAGAGAGCTTAATGTCCTTAATCTGACCTTCTCAACATTTTACCAGAACAAACCAAGCCTCTACTCTCTGACCATCTCCTCTCTTGTTAACATGGCCTAAGCAACACTTTGCCATATCTTCATTGACTTAATGCCTCTGTAGTTAGCACCCTTGGTTTGTCTTGTTTTTTTTAAAGTAATTACTAAAACTTGATATTTGTTCCCAATAATAATATATTGATTATGACTGTCAAAGTGACTGTAAGTATGCAACAATCAGATGCATACCTCAGCACATACGGAGTAAATATGTGTTTCTGAAGACTCACTGTTGTTGGTAATGAGCGTGGCGATGGCGCTGGTAGCAGCAATGAACACACTGGGAGAGGAGGAGTGAACCAGCATGGCAGCCATTAACTGTCTGTGAACAGGAGTTCTGAAAAACAGTCATCCAGCTTCCATGAAACGGTGTTTAACTCATTCAGAAGGCTTTTTTCCCCCTTTAAACTCCTACATGCCTGTCATCCTGCTCCTCTTCTGAAGGGTTAACTTGGGCTCCATGCAGTAGCAGATTGTGAATGGCCCAGCTCGCAGCTTCCTGAGACGGGAAAAAGGGAGTTAGATGGTGACTTTAACAGTTTCTATAGTGCTAGCGGCCAGGGGCTGCAGGACCGACCTGAACAGCCGGCTCAGCTGTATGGAGATCCAGCGCCGTACAGCAGTCCTCCATCCAGTCCAGGCCCAGGTCCTCCACCTTCTCCATGCCCCTCACTTCTTCCTTCTCTCCTTCCTCCGCCACCGCTTTGCTCTGCACAATGGTTGCAGCTGCAATGTGGCAAGTGGATAACATAATGCATTATGTAGAATAAATCTCATCTTGTTTAGATGTACGCAATGTCAGCTCTGTTTCCATTACAAATGTGTTGCTATTAAATAAATTTATTTCCAAAATATCAAACTGTGCAATTTATCCCAATGGAAACTCAACTATTTTCAGTAACATTTGCTAATACTTTGTGCCGACCAACTTCCAGGACGTTATTGACTCAAATATAATTTGTGAAGGTGTGTGCTCACTAAGTTCAGCCAGGCAGGAGAGAGCAGCAGCTTGCAGGACAGGGTTGTTGCGGAAACTCTGACAGGCTCTCAGAGCGACTCTCTGGACGCCGTTCCGTACCAGGATGTTGAAGAAGCTCTCTGCAGGAAGATGTAAGAAAAAAAAACAAACATCTGAGTTAGACAGAAGTTTCTTTTGATGTTATCAGCTTTAAAAAGCACATTAGCTTATCAAAGTGGATCAAATTCAAGCAGTAGTGCATTGATTTCACAAGCAATGTTATCTTCATCTGTCAATATGTGAGCAGATACTGCAGTTATTTATTGACAAGGAATCTCAATCATTGTTTTACTCTGGTTTCCTTTTAATCAGATAGTAGTTAACTGAGAGAAGCACAAGTTCTCTAAGAAGACAGGAAAATGATATATTTAACGTAGAAGAAGCCACATCATGAAACATATTGCATAAAAATAAGTATTAGTGCTTTTCCTCACAGACTAAATATTTCCCCTTTTAGGTCAGTTAGGATTGCCAAAATTGTTTCCATTTACTAAACTCAAAATAATAATTTTTAAAAGGTGTTCATACATTTCCTCATTATTTTGTGTCGTAGCCTTTGAACTATATGACTTTTCAAACATTTTTGATGTCCACCCACAAATTTACAAGGGTACAGAATTTTTTTAATAATTTCTTTTTTGTGTGTGAATTCTTACCCTAGAAAAATAATAATATAAAAACACAAAATTGTTTGCATCAGCCATAATTTGATGGCTGATGCCATCAAAGTGTGATGGCATCAGCTGCACTTCATGTACTGGAAGTGCGGCTTCCAATACATGAAGCCGCACTTTGAACATCACTGGATTAAAGGCACAGTAAACTTAGTGTATGCAAACTTCTGAATTCGAATTAGAAAAACAATTCTACACCAAATAGAAATCATTTTAGTGATCTGAACTGGAGATGTTTATTTGATTTTATCTTAGTTCAAGTGTAAGTTATCTTATTGAAACTCATAATTTTTTTTCCATTTTTTTGGATAGATGCACAGCACTTACAAACAAATATGAAATTATATCAGACTATTGCTGAGGAGGAGGAGACTGATGAGAACACAAGGACAAACATTATGTCTTGCTCTGCCTCCAGAGTCGGAGCTCTGACCTGATGTGAACCTCCTGAACAGCAAGCAGGCCGTCTCCTGCAGCTCCGCCACGTCAGGGAAGGCGTCCATGGCTGCGATGATGAGGGTGTAACACCGAGTGCCTCCCGACATCAACACCTCCACGTTACTGCCTGCAGGAGAAATGCATGTCGACCTCATCAGGAGCTTTTGGTCATGCAAGGTAGAGCTGACATGTAGAAGAGAGCATTTCTTCACAAACTAATGAGGTATGGACAAAGACAGATCGGTTTTGACCGATACTAGGCTTCAGATATTGGTATTGGAAATGAAAAAAATTGATTGTACATCCCTGCTCCACTTTATAGATTTGATTTATTCAAGGTTTGCAGAAAATGTGGTTAATTATAGTTAATTCATTATTTAACAAGAGGTAGTGATTATTTTTTCACACAACGTCAAGTTGTTTGATGAATGAAATTTTTGGAAAACTAGATTTTGAGTTCATTCAAGACATTCTCATCCAATGTTAAGACCAGTTTGATAATATGAAACATTTAAGTGTGATTAAAACCAAAGCAAAATATAAAAAACTCTAAGTAATTTTACACCCTCTCTCTTTGGTTACTTCAAAAATATAAACTTTGTTTAGTCTACAACTTAAAGCAGCACATCACAACCTGTCAGAATTTGGACATATTTGTGATTTTCACAAATTCATTTGATGTAAAAAGATAAGAAGAAAACCTTCTTGAAAAGGCCTTAAACAACTTAGCTGGCAAATAAATGCCAAACAGTTTTTATAGGACTCACTCCTGTTTGTTTTGCCAAATAGATCTGTTTGCTGCAAAGGGACAGAATAACGTCATTCATGTTACCATGCAGCCTGATTTACATCAGGACAGCCAAACAAGCTTTACAGGTTTACAGTGAAAATGTGGTCACAGCTTCTGAATGGCCTTTTAGAGAGAAAAAGCTCTTTCTTTTAAGGTCAGTGTAACCCATGTTTCAGCTTTCTATTGTTAGATTCAGAGAACATCTCAGAGTCAGCCATTTCCGTATCTTTAGGGGATGTATTAGTGGCGTACCTGTGCGAGCTAAGGGCAGTAACACCTTCATGGCCTGAGTGAGGAGCTTGGGGCTGCCAGAGAACCTCTGCAGAGCTGAAAGAACCACAACATGGTCCTGGTTTTCCACAAACTCGCCCAGATGGTCGTCACTTACTACAAAGAGAAAAAAAATGGACAAAGAAGTTGTGATTACTAATACACAGCTAAGTAACATCAGCCCTCCACTACCAACTTTACAAAAACTGCTTTCGAACTGGTATCCGTTGTGCAATACAGCCAAACATTTCCACATTGAACATAGTTACAGAAATATTGTGATTGGTTTTTCTTTGATATATGTAACTGAACCACCACATTTGTTTTTTTTTTTTAAAATAAGAACAAGTTTTTACCCATCTAACACCATAACACAAGAAAAGGTTGTCAGCCCACCTCTATCCAGCAGCAGCTGCAGAGCCATACAACCTTGGAGTTGAACTTCCTCAATGGTGGAAAATGCTTTCATCGCATGCACAACCAGGCTAAACACGTCCTCTTCTTCATTGAGCACCAGGAGAGGAATCGGATCTGTCCAAAATTGTAGGCAAACACGTGTAACAGAGAGAAATTAGAGAAACGAAACAAGAGGATTGATTACAAAGGTTATTAAAAATCAGCTTTTGGTGGGCATGTTACAGAATCCTTGGCAAGGAGAATAACATAAGGTGGTGTTCCACAAAGTTCAGTATTGGGAGCTAACAATTTTTTCATTGATTTAAATGCTGATTGTTTTATAATTAGTGTATTAATAGCCAAGGCAGCTGCAAGTCATTTGAGTTCCTTGAGCTCAAAGGCTATGTGAGGGTTTTGTCACATCTGTACTTTTACACGTCAACATTTTCAAAAACAGAGGTTCATGAATAAATAAACCATAGGAATCATATGAACATATGCTGCTCTAACAACAGAATATATGACAGGTTGGCACAGGAGGGAGAAATTGGCACATTCCAGGTGTGTAACACACTTTCATTTTCAGAAAGGACATCATTCTTGTACAGCAAAAAGCTGTACAAAGCTGACTTCTCTCTTAGAAGTCAGAGGTATTTAAAACTCAACATCCTCCAAAAAGGGGAAACTTACCCTGCCAGAAATCCATTTTTGGCAGATGGATTTACTGATCATCATTAAAATTAACGAAAACTTCAGCTGGAATTGAACAGTTATGTCACATCATAGCATAAAGCTTTTTTAGGGCTTTTGACAGCAACACTATATTACCAAAAGTCAGCCCTCAAAATCATATAAATGTAATGTTGAATTTATAATCCTTATGAATTCAGGTTTATTATAAGGTTTATTGTGATGCTGGCTTCAGCACTTTCAGCTCAAGTGGGAAGGGTTTCCACAAAGTTTAGGATGATAATGGAAATTCTTTTTAGTCACTTATAGCCTTTCCAAAAGCTGTTCTATTAGCTCAAGCTTAGGAATAAACACACTTATCCATGTCTTTATTAGCCTTGCTTTGTGCACATTCATATTGGAGCAGGAAGGGGCCATCCCCAGAATGTTTCCTTGATGTTGAAAGAAAGAACTTTAACATGCAAAAAATGTTTTGCCGTGTTAAAGTTTCTTTTACTTGAACTACAAAATCAAGTCCAACTTCTGAAAATCCCCACAGCCAGTGGAGAGCACACGTTCGATAATCTGCTAATAGTGGAGCAAATTTTTCATTTTGCGCTTTAGTGTATTTGCTGACTGTAAAAAACTTTGGCACAATTTGCTTTATTCCAGATATACTCTAAAGCATTAATAAACTTGTCATTGTAGGGCAGATACAATTTGAATTCCCGTTACCATGTTGGCATAGTGTTTTAGCGTTAGCATAACTAACATTAGGGTTAGCACAACTATATTTTTAGTTAGCAGTGCCCACCACTGCCCAAACGTAATCCATCCTGGAGCAAACATAACACAGTGATGTCAAGCAATTATTGCTGTCCTGGCAACTGCTAAGCCTACAGTCATCCACAGCGCCGACAGAGGCATAGTTAATTTTTCCAGACAACGCTTTTACACTGTTTTAGACTCCATGGAAGGCTTGTTTTACACCACAGCATCAGACATGTCAAAATTTACACATCTGTCATCATGGAAGCGATTGAAATACTTGATCTTAATCATTTAAGATTAGCGGGTTTTTTGGTTCTGTAGTGTATGTATGCAAACGTTCTTTCCTACATACAGACATAATGTACCTGATGTGAGCAGAAGCGCCAGGGCTCTGAGTCCAACAATGGTTACTTGATGATCTGCAATAAACTGAGCTAAGACCTTCAGGATCTGCCTGGAAACAAAACCAGAACGAGAAATTGTGTTAATAGAGCCGCATGAAGTTGGTAAAAGCATGTAGTAGCAAAATTATTAGTAAAATAGTATGCTATCTGCTGTGACCAATACACATTGTTCTTAATTCTCCCTTTTTCAGCTGTTCTTCCAACACTCCCTTAGCATCTTAGGTATTGTAGTGCGAGACCAACACCGACTCTTACTGGCAAAATGGGAAAGACGAGAGAGCATACCGATTAAGCAAAGCAGTAAGTTAAGAAATGGCTACTTGCATAAATGTAGTCTTTTCTACTTTTGAAGCAATAAGAAAATGCTTATGATCTTATTTAGATTTGATGTAAAGCAAGGCTCATTATAAGAGACATACAAATATCTAAAAGGCTCATCATCATCACGAGTTCAAATAATTGTGGAAGGTGTGCTGTGAAAGGAAAATCCCCAAAGGCAAATTGCATGTTTGATCGTGTTGTTAAATTAAGCTTGGGTGACTTCAAAACTGACAAAATTTGCATTGTGTGAACCAATGATAAAACTCATAGATGGTTATTCAAAACACATAAACAAAAAAGAGGAAACCTGGTCAATGGGTTCAATGTCTGAGTAAGGGAAGGACAACATGTTTGCCCAGAGGGCAGTGATCTATATAATACTGCATCATAAATACAGTGCTACATATTGGGCATTTGACTATGAATGGAAAAGTGTCATAGTTTATCATCACGCAATGTTTATTTTGCACACTTTCTATGTTTTCATGACAGCTAGACTGCCAACTTGTACAATTGTGGATGATTGTCTGCTTTGTAAAATATCAATGTAGCTACACACTTGAGTGGATTTCATTTCTGTTTATGTAGACAGAGGAGATTAAAGGTTCCTCATAACAAGAGGAGTGGAGTCAACTTTCCTTATTTTTAAAGCTTTTTTCTCTCTCAATGGCGGAGGACTTTTGGTATAGTCCAAGGACAGGGCAGAGCAGGCGCTACAAATTAACAATGGCTAACAATGGCACACTGGTACATAACCTACTTGAATGATTTTATATTATTTGAACATTATTTGTATGTGGTATTTCATTATCTCTTGTCAATATCTTTTCATACCTACTCATCGATGAAGACAGGTCCGTTAATCAAGTATCATGAACCAGCTTTGGCCTTTCTTTGCTTTCCTGCCCACTTTAGCTGTTTTTTGTGGTTCAGCCAAAATGAGGCAAATACAGCAAGTTTCAAAATAATTTCTATAATTTATGGGGGGTTTTTCAAACTGTTGTTGCACCATTCTGTTAAATATCACTAATCTGCATTTGTACAAGTTCTCTCTCGTTGCACTAAAAAAGTCCAAATTTGCCAAAGTGATATTTCAATTTCTCATTTTAGTTAGAACAAAATGTTGATTTTCATCGCTCACAAAGACTCCTCTGCTTTTGAACGTTTGTCTCTGTTGTCTTGGAAGATACAGACTGAATTGAACTCTCAAGAAAGCTTTGACTGCCAAAGTAGCTGGACCTGACCCAGTTACAAGGCCTTCAATGATCTACTTCTGTGGAATGCAGTTGTGTTGAACAATTCTTTAGACTGCATGCTATAATAACAGTAAGTACACACAGCAGGTCTTGATGCTCAATTCTGATTTTTTGCTGAAATCCATTTTACAAACCAGAGTGACTGACATGCACAATGGGAGCAGACAGTAACGTCACAAGATCATAGTACAAAGGAAGCTAAAAACAACAACATTTCAAATAGCAACAGCCTTTTGTGGAGTATTGACTGCAACTTCTGAAGAGAAGTGTGTCCACAAACTGGATTGGAAATAAGAGTGGTGGGATGGTGACGTAATGCACTTCACAGAAACAGAATTCTTTTAGAATTTTTCAACCGTTGTTTATGTCCGGGCTCATATTAGTTTGTCTGGAATTGGGTTCGTTTGACGTCAGCAGAAGATGGACAAAGATTTACGCACCTGTGTAATGGAAAAGCAGCCACTGGCCAGGACAAAATATCTCACTTGCATTTACAGTGCGAGTACATGGCAAACATTCCAGTCCACCAAACATAAGGACAATAGCACACCCCGATGTTAAGATTGTGAGTTGAAATATTTCACAGGTCTGCAAAAAGATATGAATCCCTAACCAATAGGTTTGTCTTCACTTACTGGTGCACTGCCAGTACCTCCCACTCCCTGCTGGCCTGCAGAGGTCTGCAAAGCTCCTCCAGCGTTTTCGGTCGTATTTCAATGAGCCGGCACAGCAGGGACAAGCCCACCTGAGGTAACAAAAGGTAGAAGAGGAATCATATCAGATAACTTTTTTTGTTTCTCTAAATGACAAAAGTGTTTCGGTTTCAGGACCTCTTGGGAAAGCCAGGTGAGTGTGTCAAATTGTCTCATAATCATACTTTCAGTTTGCGTTGTACTGCAATTCTTAGCCTGATAAGTAAAGGTACACCTGACACCATAAATTGGCTGGATCAGATGGAGAAAAGTTGCTGACAGATGAGTCATTTCCTAAGAGAGCACACACCCTTTTAAGCAAGTTTGTAACTTCACATTTCTGTTGCTTTTCACACAAAAATTGTCCAAACAGAAGCTAAAGGTGAAGGCGTTTGACAGGTCAAGATGTGAAGGGTTACCTCCTGGACTTTTTTGCTGTGTGTATAAGATGAAAGCACCACTGTGAGGGGAACATGGACATCTTTGTCTTCAAACAGATCAGCTGCTGCAATAACAAAACAGAAAAAAAACCCATCAGACCTGACAAGTTAGCTTTAAACACAAGACTGCTTCTATTTTCAATGTGACTGGAAAGAGGTCACTTTAAAAATAGAATTCAAATTTAATAATAATTTTTTTTTAAAAAAAAGACTAGTGTTACAACAAGAACAAGTCAAAGGAAGCAGTAATCTAATCAGGCAGGACTTTTAGCACAGCGTTTTAACTGTATTTACCTTTAAATGTGGATTAGTTCAGCTTTTAAAACATCACATATTTTAAGAATAAACCTAGAAATGTTAAACATTGTAGCAACAGAGATACATGCAGGATTGACAACAATCCTAAAGAATTTTCAATGAGGTTAGTATCTCCTTCAGCAGCTATGAGGTGAAATATTTATAATTTAATGAGGTCAGACACACAGTCAGGAAACAGAATCTGACACAGTAAGAAAGACTAAAATCTAACCTGAATTTGGAGTAAGTTTGCTGAAAACATCTTAAAAACGTACCCAAAATAACGTTCTGATTTGTTGAAAATATGCTCCTAATTGACAGTTTGCAACATTTGCCTTTCTAATATCTTTTCTTCTTGGCATCACATATACCAGTAATCAGTACATTGTGAAAACTCCTAATTTTACTAAAGGTGGTCGCATTTGCTGATAATCAGCTCATCAGGGAGATGTTACATTTCCCTCCTGACTATAAGAATAAATTGGCTAAAAGGAGACCCATTTTCTAATTCAGATTTTTCTGTGGTTTTTGATATTGGCAAAAATGGGCTCTCCCCCCTGGGCAGCAAATTCTCAGGGGGCAGGGAGTGGTAATAAAATGAAAGTGAAAATTAATGCCAGTTGTGCTCCAAACTAGTTTCCCATTGCTTGCTGCCTTGTCGATAAATGGGAAGTGTGCACCACCTGTGAAGCTCATTTTCTTAAAACCCTGGTTGTTTCTGGGAGATTCCACTCTAAACTGAGACTGATTCTTTATAATGCACAACTATTTGTTTAAACATGGTTTGACAATAATCAAATATTTGTTCCAATTTAAACAAACAAACAAAAAAAAAGATCAAGGGTTTAATAACTTATTGTCATTCTGCCAATAAACCCCACTTCCTGTGATTTTTGTAACAATTGCATAAAGTTCACTATGCACTACTTACTGTACATGCAGCAACCTACTGGACTGTAGGGTTTTTTTTTTTTTTTGCATGGAGTCGATACCGTTTAAAACATAAACAAACGTCCTTAATCTACAGCAGCATGGTCACTTAAAGGTTTTCCTGTTTGCTGCCGGCAGATTGGTGAACATGCAGGGAAGCAATGGGGGGTTTCCTACCGTGTTCCGTAGCCGCCAGGGTCCTCAGATCCTGCAGGATTTGGATCAGCGTGGACAGCTGCCTGTCCTCCTGCGGCGTTTTCAGCCGCACCAGCAGCTTCTTCAGCCGTCCTTCCAGCTCTTCTTTGTTAACCATGGTCTTTGAGGAGTTGCTTTCCTCCTGAAGGCTTGACGCGCATTTAGGTCAATCAGTGCACTCTCTCGCAGTGAGAACCGAGAGCGTGTAAACGGGCCAAGCTGCTCGTTTACATTAAACTTCCCCGACAGCCACATGCATCATAACGGCGTATTATTATGCGTTACCTTGTTGGCGTGATATTACAGTAGCTACAGTAGAGCTACGACTGGTTATCATGACGAGGGGGAAGCTGTCAGTGACGAGGAGTTTCGGTCCCAGCGTTGACATCAGCTTCCTCTCATAACTTTCCTTCGCGTGTTCCCCATTTGTCGTCCAGTCGGACACGTTCCTGTGTTTCTGTGGGAGACGCCGCTGGTTCCCCTCTGACTGGCGTGTTCCTGCTTCTCCGCGGTCACATCATATGACTCAAACGAGAAAAAAAAAAAAAAAAACTTCCCGTTTAGAGAAGGAGAGGCTGGAAAGGGACAGCGCGCGGCGGCGCAGCGCGAGGGCGCAGCTGTCACACCGGACCGAGTTTGTCTCGTGGGGAATGTTTTGGAACTACGGTAACATTAGCTGATACGTGACGTAACCCTAAAGATAGCCAGCAATGATAGTTTGCCAGTTTATAAATAGCATACTCATCGCCGAGTTAGTTTAACGCCGTGCTCCGTTCACAACGCCTCCCAATCTACGTTACTCAAAGACATAGCAAATTAGTCCGCGGGTGAAGAACAAGCGATAGACATGTTTTTTATTTGTCTGAAATATTTTTAAAACAACATATATTTCGTTAGTAGTCTGGAATGACGAGGGAACACAACTTTTTTCAACGCACTCTTACGTCACCGTCAAAACGAGTTGGATTTTGCGGCGCATTCACAAGTTTTACGGTAATCAAAATGCGCCTCAGAATCCTAAAGTCAAAAACTAATAAATCCAAAAACAAAATACAAAAGAAAATTGAAAATAACTATTTATGGCTTTTTTTTTTTTTTTTTTTTTTTTTTTTTTGACGACAAATCTTTGTAATTCAGAAAAGAAAATGTGCCGGTACATATTATTTTATTTTTATTACCTTCTTAGAAATTTGGTGTTAAACAAGTTTTTAAACATATTTGGAGATATTTTTTTATAACGTTTTATATTAAAAACGACAGCAGAACCAAAACAATTGTCAGCCGTGTCTCCTTGTCTCAAACGTGTTTAATTCTTTGGCGCGCAAATACAAGTGTTACGATAGTTGGAACGTATGGCACGCCTTAAAATAATTAGTTTTAAAAACTGAGAAAAAAAAATAGTTCACATTAAACTTTTTTGACAAAACCTAATAAAGGAAAACTTAATCAAGGTATTTTTGCTGTCCTGTAACCTATAACTGTAATTATGTAAGACATATACATCCTTCTGGAAGCTGAACTTCAGGGTTTAACATTCAACCTTATCAGTGTGAGTTTAATGTCAGCATTAACATAAACATGCACTAAATGACTTTGGGTTGTTTCAGAGCAAAATAAGCTTTTTTTTTTTTATCAAAATAAAAGCATTGCCTGTTCTGTCTTTCTGTGTCTGGAATAAAGTTAAGATGATGATGTCATCGTGGCAACTTTCGACATTCTCTTGTATTTATTGCCTTGTTTAACTCGTAGCCCACCTTGGAACTTGCTAACTGTTTAGAGTTGTAAAGGTTTGTGCATGGCTTTCTCTAAGCACAAAAAAATCCTAGATTTTATTCTCTATTTTTATTTTAAATGGTTTTTTTTACATATTTGTATTTACTAATGAAGCATTAACCTTTACCTTTTTTTTTCAAAATACATGTAGTCTTGGACTTGGAAGCGGGGGTAACTTGTGAATATCTCACTGAACAATAGAGAATTACTTTATTTTGTCTAATTTTCCTCACATTTCATACTCTTGTTTTATGACACTATGGGGATCCCATACTTTCTGAAGATTAAAAAAGGAAACTTTTGTGGAACTAATTAATGAGCACATAAAGATTGTAACTTGATAAATACAATAATAATAATAATAAAAGAACAAGACATATTGAAACTGGAACGAAGTGCGTATAATTAAAAAAAATCGAAGTCCGTAAACTACCACCTTGCTGAGTCGCTGAACATCCAGATGAACAGGTTACGACCATGGTGACGTCATGGCCCGGACGGCTGTCCCTTTAATCGGCGTTATCACATGATCCCACAGAAGCTTCCTGTTCGCCCAAAAAGAAATGCTGTGCAGCAGAACGTTGGAAGTTTTTTGGGAGGTAAGTGGATCCAAGTAATACAACTATAACGAGAAAGCAACAATAAAATAACATAAATAGATATAAAATAATAACTAAAGCAAAGCAAATCATTCGTCTGAGTCAAAGCAACAAGTTTGAGGTTTGAACGTTTTCTCTTCATCGAATTTGGATCTATTAAATCAGTCTATAAGCGCTATATAAATGAAGACATGCTACATTTAAGCCAATCCTCATTAAATAGCTTCCTATTTAATGCGCTTATGAAAACCAGTGAGAGAACATTGACCGAGTCGACGTTTGCGGACGTCAACTCGGTGTCAGCAAATGTACTTTGGTTTAATGAAACGTCTCGAAAAGGAGCGAGTTTCAACGCGGTCCCTGCACTGAGCCTGACGGTGGTTGGAGAAGTCAACCTGCTTTGATTGAACTCGAAGAACAGACGAAAAACGAGCTTCCAGGGGTTGTACGTCAACATCTCCGCCATATTGTGAGGGGCATGGAAATTGTAAAATGTAGTCCGGCTTTAAGGTTTTTTGTTTTGTTTTGTTGTTGTTTTTAAAGTTGTGTAAATAACAGTTCAATAAAATTGCTGAGGGTAAATTCTTTAGACAAGCTAACTATGTCTGGCTGTAAACCACAACAAGACTAGACTGATAAATCTTAAATCGCAATCTTCCTATCAATAATGAACATTTCTGATTTTATTCTTTTTAAACGTCGCTATTCCCTAAAGAAAAACAATTACATTTTCAGGGAGAAAGAATGTTATTCTGTATTTGTAGTTAAACTAATAATGGATTTACGGATAACTGGAATTCAGTCTGACTGCATGTTAAGAACATGTACGTAAATAAAAACGTGTTTCTTCACCAGCATTCGTTTGTAGACTGCCTACGTCACGCAAACATGGCCGCCCCGAGCACTTGACAGTCTCCTTATCAAATGGGTAAATAATCAAATGTGCCCTGTCGGTTCACTGCCAAAGCGCAGTTTGAGCTTTTTCTTTTCTTACGACGTTGCGACTGTCGCCGCTGCGGTGACAGAATATTAAGCAGAAATAGAAAATGCTGCCTTGTCGCCTGTTGTTAACCAGATAGTAGGTTAAGTTTTTAAGTTGGACTCTAACTTGGTGCTGTCATGCCTCCCTGAAAGCGCAGGCTGTTCCACTAACTAACCGCGGCTTTCTCCTGCCTCCAGCAGCTTCAATGACAGATGAGTGACCGCGCAGGCAGCAGGAGGCAGGAAGCTGCAGAGGATGGAGAGCGGAGTCTCATTGGACCTCCGTCCGGACACGCCGGGGAGAACCTCCGGGATCCAAACTCCTCATCGACCCCGTTTTTCATCTACTTGCTGGCGTTTTTCTCCGCCCTGGGCGGATTCCTCTTCGGGTATGACACCGGGGTGGTCTCTGGAGCGATGCTGCTCCTGAAGAAGGAGATGCGCCTGAGCGCCCTGTGGCAGGAGCTGCTGGTATCCAGCACCGTGGGAGCCGCGGCGCTGTCCGCCCTCAGCGGGGGCTTCCTGAATGGGTGGCTGGGGCGCAGGATTTGTACCCTCATCGCCAGCTTCATCTTCTGTGGCGGTGGGATTGTTATGAGTGTAGCCCAGAGCAAAGTGGTCCTCCTTGTTGGTCGCATCACAGTGGGTTTGGGCATCGGTGAGTAACTCTAATTGGTGAAGTGAAGAGTATAAATCAATGTCGACCCCAAAGGGGTATATATACCCCCTCTTTTTGCTGCAATTGCATTTTTGATTATATTTACCAGTTTTTCACACATCAACAATAACTTCATAATTTTGAAATAAGTGGATGTTGTTTTTCTTCATACACATCCCAATACAACTCACCTAATGTTGGCTTATGACTTTGATATGAAGTGCAATGTTTTAAAAAATATGCTGTAATTTAAACAAAAAAAAGTCTTTGATGTCCCCAAAAATTCAAGTTCTTCTCAAATTCTGTATGTAAAAAAAAAAACTCTTCTTCCCAACAGGCATTGCTTCTATGACCGTCCCCGTATACATCGCAGAGGTTTCCCCTCCACATCTGCGAGGCCAGCTGGTCACCATCAACTCTCTCTTCATCACTGGTGGCCAGTTCATAGCCAGTGTGGTGGACGGAGCTTTCAGCTACCTGAGTCACGACGGCTGGAGGTAATTGACCGGAAATGTCGCCTCTTTTCTCTGGTAATCTCTGTTCAGAAGTGTCCGCCTCTAACTTCCTCCTGATCGATCCCAGGTACATGCTGGGTCTGTCCATCCTGCCTGCCGTGCTGCAGTTCTTCGGCTTCATCTTCCTGCCGGAGAGCCCCCGCTGGCTCCTGCAGAAAGGCCGGAGTGAGGAGGCACGCCAAGTCCTGGGCCGCATCCGGGGGCACCGGAATATCGAGGAGGAGTACGACACCATCAGGACCAGCATCGAGGAGGAGAACGTAACGGGATCAGGTCTGAGCGATGTGTCCAACTCAAGGCTAAACAAATGTAATAATTATTAAATGGTGAATAAAAGTGAGGCAAAGCATTCTAAAAGTTTATTTCTTTACATATTAGCAATGTCTGTGGGTTGACAAAAGGGTCCCCAGCCAGAAATTAATGCACTTTAGGGGGCCACAGCATGGAAAAGTTTGGGAACCTTGTGCTCTAAACCATTTGTGGCCCTTGACATGTTTTTCTTCAACCCCTGACCACAAGTCAAGAATAGTAAACATCTGGCAAATAAAATGCAAAACAATTGATGACCTGAACAATGTGGAAATTCTCAATTTTTCTTTTACTAAGGCAAAAGTCCTTTTTATGTTTTGAAACTTTACTGATATACATTTTTCATAAACATTTTGTTTGTTGTTGAGATAGTAAAACAACAAAAATCACAATAAACAAAATTTTAAATTTTAATTTAATGAATTTTATACCCCTCTCCCACTTACTCTCCCTGTGCCAGTACTTTAAATTTGCTATTTTTGAACACCAAACCATCATTCAATCAGCCGCATACATGAGTATGAGTGATAGCGCTAAGCCCCACCTCCTGGCTGTGATTGGTTGTTTTTGATCAGAGCGATGCATTTCTTCAGATGGCCATAGCAGCTCAGTGAAGAGGTGGAGGAGAACCATCTTTTCACAAATTATCTGACTCATATTACACTGTCACGACATGGGGACGGCTTTAAAATAAGTAAAAACAAAAAAACAATTTTTCATGAAAGTTACATATGCTGGAAACTCTTAACTCCTGGTTTGCAGGAGGCGTCGTCATTTTGCGCATCCTCAGCTACGGACCGACTCGCAGGGCTCTCATCGTTGGGTGTGGCCTCCAGATGTTCCAGCAGCTGTCTGGGATCAACACAGTCATGTAAGCCCTGCTTGTCTTGTCACATTGTACATGTTTTCACCTCTCTCTGCTAACCTCATCGCTCCGTTTGTTCGTATCCAGGTACTACAGTGCTACCATCCTGCAGATGGCTGGGGTGCGGGAAGACAAACAGGCGATCTGGCTGGCTGCTGCAACCTCAGCTACCAACTTCGTGTTCACATTGGTGGGAGTGTGGCTCGTGGAGAGGGTAGGCCGCAGGAAGCTGACGCTGGGCAGTCTATTAGGTTCGTAACTGCTCAGATTATCAAATTTTAGCTTGAAAGGCAGTTTGAACGGCATGAGGACTTCTTAAAGGGGCAGTGTTTAGTGAAATCAGCTTTTTTGAGCTGTGCATCATGTTATAATGTTATTCCTTCTTCAAAAACATACCTGGAGTGTTGTCTCAAAGAGCATTCCACCACTGCCCTTCTCAGCTTCTTCAGACTAGCTAGCAGCAATTAGCAAACATCTGGTGGAACTGAGCATCAGCTTGTTATAGGAGCTACTTCTCAGCAAAGGTTGGTAAAAAATGTTGTTGTTGTGATGACCTCTCGAAGGCGGAATTTCAGAAAGAGCAGGAATTTTTTTTTTAAAGAGACAGAGGCCTAATTTCAAGGCGTAAAATTTCTTTAAAGTCATATTTTGATATATAGAGCATTTTTATAACTGAAGGTAACATAGTTACTTGATCGTGCTATCAAAAGCATATATGTGCCTGGAAAACAAATACTGCACCTTTATTTGGTGGTTTTATTTACTCTAACACAGGAACTGGACTAAGTCTGACTTTGTTGGCCATCGGGTTCCTGCTGTCGGCCCAACACTCTCCTCCTGTCACGCTCCACCCCACCGACTTTCACAATTCCACCTGCAGGCTTTATGGGTGAGAAAACCAAATTCAAAGAGAAGTCACTTCCCTTTTTTCTGTTTCCTATTCTCGCAAACCAACTGCTCAAAGATGGCGTCTTCTCTAGTTCCACTGCTGCACTAAATGAAACCATCGCTGTTCCTCAGAAGGCTAAATTCTTGTTCTTACTTTTGGTTTTACCCACAAATTAATTTTAGTCGTTTTCTGGTTTGCTTGAAAATGAAAGTAAAGTCATACTCTCAGCATTTAACATAGTATATTTAGAGGAATTGATTTAATAAAATACATGTGCAAGGGAAGCTGCTCCTCTGAGTCTGTAAACTGGCCGGTCTGGGATTCCTGTTTATAAGTGTGTTTATTTGAAATTCTAACTTCCCATTTGCAGTAAAAGGACACACTGACTTTAAAAGGACAAGCAAAGCAAGTCAAAACATTTTATGCTGCATATTTGAAATGAAGAGCAGTGTATTAAGATTGTGAGTTGACACAAGTTACAAATACTGATGACTCACAATTTGCCTTTCATAAAGCATGGCTGCATACAATCCCTGTACAAAGTATTCACCCCCCTTGGAAGTTTTACCCTTTTATTACCTTTTGAAATGAATAAAAAGCAACACAGTTAGGCATTTTTGGCCAAAAAATGTACAAAAAAGCCCTGATTTCTATGAAATAATGACAATTAAATTAACTAAGTGCCATAAAATAAGTGGCTGCATAAATTTTCACCCAGTTGAAGGCAGTGATTATTAAATACATATTTGGCTGCAATCACAAACCTTCTCTATGTGTCTTTACCTGGATGCTGTCTTGTTGGAAAATAAATATTCTCTGATAGATGGAAACAAGTGATCTTACAGAGATTTCCCTTTATTTTGCTGCATTCATTTTACCTTCTATCTTTACAATCTTCTGTCTCTCAGAGCAGTGCTTCCCCATACCTCCCCTGCTCAGCTCCTTCAAACTAGCTAGCAGCAATTAGCAAACACCTGAGCTCATTATAGAAGCTACTTCTCAGTATAACACTGGTAAAAACATTGTTAAAGGGTTAATCGAGGAGCCATGTTGTGATGACTTCCTGACGGTGGAGTTTCAGACAGAGATGAGTTTCTTAAAGACACAAAGGCCCAATTTCAAGTCGTCAAATTACTTTCAAGTTAAATTTTCTTTAAGTCATGTTTCAAGTGCAGTATATGGCATTATTTTTAACATTAAAGGTAACACAGCTGCTTGATCATGCTTTAAAATGGCACTATGTTTGTGGAGAACACATGATACTGCCCCTTTATCTTGTTTTATCGCAAACAGTTTTCATATTTCTAAATACTTAGCTGGCTTTTTTTATGACTGTTTAATTTCTCCAGGCATGTTTATGTTAATCATGTTTCCTTCTGCCAGGTCTTGTGAACCGTGCATGTTGGATCCATACTGTGGATTCTGTTACCTCGAAAACGACGCCAGCGTGTTCAACTCTTCCTGCGTTCCTGTCAGTCCGGCATCAACCGACAGCGCAGCCTGGGGAAGGTCACATCGTCGTCTGCATGTGCTTTGAGTTGGTAGTGTAGAGTTTGTTCAAATCTAAAACCAGTCTGCTTTCTTCTTTATTTATTTTTCTCATCCAGATGTTCTAATCGGAAGGAAGAATCTTTCAGCCCATATTGGGCTTACAATTACTGTCCCACATCGTACTCCTGGGTTGTTCTTTTGGGCCTCATCCTCTACCTCGCATCATTTGCTCCAGGTCAGATCACCTCTTTTCTTTTCAAACAAATTGCTTATCATGTAAAGATGAGTCTTTTTTTATTTTTTTTATGACAGATGTTTAATAGGAATTATTTACAAAACTTTGGTTTCACACAAAATGGGACGAATTATTACAGCATTAACTGAGAAAAAAAGTGAAACAAAAATAACACCAACAGCTATCAAATACAGCAATTAATTATTTTAGTGATTGATCATTCCATTGATTGTTCTGACCGGTTAATCTAATAGAAATATTGGTAGATCCTGTAGATTGTTTTACACAAGATTAGAAATGTGGAGAAAAAAAACCCCACATAGTTAAATTTTGTATTTTTAAGTAAGAAAACATCAATTTTATTGCCTAAAATGCAACAACATAACTTTCTCTTTATGTGCGCTTAGTCTTTTGTGGCAAAGGATGCATCTGCAGTTGAAAGAATACGTCTTAATTTTACGGTACTCTGTTGTTGGTTTTTGTTGTGGATTTATTTTTGGAAGAACAGGTTAATAATTGGGTAGCAATTTTTTTTACAGAATTGGAACTGGGTGAAGTTAAAACTGGGCCCCTTGTGGAGCAGAACACTTTTACGAATTTTTTTTTTCCTCCATCTTAATCTCAGATGCAAAATGATCCTATTTTTTTCATTCATTTTTGGCTCAGTTGCTGCTCTGAGTGTGCTGTTCATTCAGCAATTTCCCTTTTTACCAAGACTGTACTCCAGTTAATGATTAATCGATTACTGATTAAGTTGACGGTTATTTTTAAAATTCATTGATTCATCTTGATTAATCCGATTAATTGTTTCAGCCATATAGAATTAATATAGATGCAGTGTGTATTGTAGGAATGGGGACGATGCCCTGGACGGTGAACTCGGAGATCTACCCGCTGTGGGCACGCAGCACCGGAAACGCCTGCTCTGCTGGCGTCAACTGGATCTTCAATGTGCTGGTGTCTTTGACTTTTCTCCATGTTGCAGAGTATATGACGTATTACGGTACGTGTAATGCTCAGGACACTTGCACATTGTGTTATATTGTAACTCGTTTGTCTTCATTTTAAATGTTTTCACAAGAGTATTTACTCTCTGCTCTGGTGTGTATATGCTAATCCTGGCTAATCCATTGAGGGTTTCCAAAAAAAAAACGAAAAAGCCCTAACATCACCAGATACCCTCGCTTGACTTCCTGTCTCCCAGGTGCGTTCTTCCTGTACGCCGGCCTGGTGGTGTTGGGGCTCCTCTTCGTCCTCTGCTGCCTCCCGGAGACGAAGGGCTTACAGCTGGAGGACATCGAGAATCTGTTCACCAGGCGACTCTGCTCTTGTGGAGACTTGCCAGCGAGCGTCAACCGCCGAGTCGACTACATCCGGGTAAAAGGCAACAACTACCTCCATTCTGACGACGACACTTCAGATGTAGAGTAGAGCGGGTTGGCTCTTTTAATTTTTTTTACTTTCTTCTCTCTCTTTTGATTCTGCTTTCTTTCTGTTTGAAGACTGATTATGCAGGGAGGAAAGACAATCATGCTGCCGTTTCCATTGGCCATACAGTTGCGCAAATTGGAATTACAAAAATAAATTTGCTTAATGGAAGCGCAGCAATTTCGTCCAACGTTTTTTTGATTAAAGGGCTAGGAGAAGGTGGTTTATCTGCTGTATCAAAATTGGTGAATTTTTTAAAACTGAAACCTTTTTTGCATTGTACAAGTCACATGATCAACAACTAGAGGTTACTACTGGCAGAATCGACAAGACGACAGGAAGTGGCAGAAGGATGATTTTTTTTAATGACTTTTCATGTGAACAAACTCATTTGTGTGATTTTAATTGCATTTTCTATTTAATAGAAACACAACAATTGTGAAATTGTGCTTATCTGACATTAGCAAAATATGGACCACGTTTTGCCGATATTTGTGTTGACTACAGCTCAAGGGATTGATACGTTAGCTGTTATTTTCCACCTTAAAAGGGAAACAAGCCTCTAAAGGTGACAGAAGCAGATCATTGTTGTGTTGCAGAAAATTCTCTTTCCTATGAATTGAACAATCATCTGGCTGCAGAAATATTACCAAAAAATAAATAAAAAGGATCAGAGGGACCAAACCTTCAGTGTTCCTGCATCGCTATTCTGGAGCGTAAAGAGACGCAGATTTACACCTCCTGCAAACTCTGCATGATTTCAGTCTGACAGACACCTCCTTCTGTGGTTTAGCCTGGGAGAGTTCAAACATGGGACACCAGCAAGAATGTGTTTTGGCTCTTAAGATCCATGAAGATTCCCAGTGTTTTCTGTCGCGCTGCAAAACACATTCTTGTCAAATTTACTAACGTGGGTTTATTCTCCTAATCTGCGCTGGTGGGGAAAGAAAGCAACGGATTGTGGTTTGCTGTTTTTGTGGTGAGAATCTGAACTACGTAAGCCAAACATTTTGTTTGTTTTTAAAAAACTTTTTTTTTTTACATTTTAGAACGTGTAAGTGTTGCTACATTGTTATTGTTTTTTTTATAGCAATCTTCAGATTACAGGCCGGCACATTATGGAGCAGTGGACTCAGACTGTGCCATAGCCTATATCACTGTAAGTACAGCCTCAAGGTGACGTGCTAAAAGCTTTGCCTTTATTTTGTAATATTGTTTTGAATCATATGTCCTTGTTGTTGCAGCTCAGATAATCATGGCCAAGTGTCCCTGAACAACATAAAAACAAGAGTCGTTTTTTTACACAGTCATTTTGTGTTCATTTGATTTTTGTGGTACTGTGGGCACTTTAAAACTGTACAGGATTTCTTACTTAAAAATCAACAACGTAACAATGGTTTATTTGTACTCGAGGTGTTTGCAAAATGCACAAAATGTCCAACACACTGGAAGACCTTTGTATCTGAATGTTTTATGGTGGCAACTGTTTTCTACAAACTGTAAACGCATTCCGACAAACTCTGTCCCAAGTGCAAAAATAAAACTATGTTCTGCCAACAGATGTTGACAGCTGCCTTTTTCTGCTAGCGTTATATTTATGTCTGAGGTAGGAATGAATTTGCTACAGAAATTAATTTTTTTTTTCTTTGTGACAATGACTCTCGCCAGTAAATCTCACACTGTTTGGAAAGTCTCTTTACTTTCTCATTTGTTGCCACTCTTAGAAAATAAAAAAACATACATTTACAAGAAGAAAGTCATAATATTACAAAAATAAAGCAGCATGAAGAGGAAGTACCAGGCTGGATGCAGTCCTCTCATGTCAATTATCCAATTCAGTAAACAACCAAACAAGAGTTAATTACAGAATATCGTATTTAGCATTATCAGAGAGGATTTCAGTCAAATTTTGGCAGATAATATATTATTATGCTTCCTTAAGAACACAAATGTTGGGCTGTAGTGGTAGAGGTAGCCTCATGATGTAAGTAAGGTAAGTAATCGTGACGTAAGTGGCTTTCAACACAAATCTTTCTCACTGTTTTGTTCCCTCTGAAGCCACAAGATGGCACAATTGGTGTGGTTTGTTGGCTTCTCTGACATGATCTTCTGATATTGATCAGTTGGGGAGCACAAGTCAAGATCAACTTCAGCTTGAAAATAAATATTAGAATTATGTCCACTATATATACTCAATGAGAATACCAAGTGTGTAAAAAAGGAAAAAAAACATGCTTTGTAAAAATGAATCGGCACTAATGATATGAGAATTATAAAAAAAAAATTCTTTGAAAATGTCAGTATCACACTTTTCTCTGAGCTTGCATTGGATTTTCATGAATAAATTTAGTTTGATTTGCTTTTAATATTTAAACAGATTATAAAATTACTGGCAATAAAAAAAAGTGATCCGTTTCTTATAATTTTGACATTCTCCACATCTAACTCCCAATGTGAATCATCAAAATGTTCGATATAATGTAAGATATGATAAATTGTTCATCTATATTATTTTACGGTGGGAAAAATATTATTTTTGTAATTAAAAAAATATATATTTTTACAAGGAAATCTAACCAGTTACAATTTGACTTATTGTATATTACCACAAATTTTGATTTGAAAAAACAAAAATCAAATATGTGGACTGATATTTCATATATATATAATATATATGAATTATAATATTATATATATATATATATATATATATATATATATATATATATATATATATGTATAAGAGCTCTTTCCATTAAGAAAATCAACTAATCAAAGTTTTCGTTTGCTATAACAATTAAAAAATATGCGCTCACATATATGCTTTTGTTTGATAAATGGATTAAAAACATGTTTATTGATTTGTACAAAGCACGAGAAATAGCAAAAAAGATTTTAAAATGTACATTTCGAACTATTGAAAATGAAAATTGCAACAGCTGTGATTATCTAAAAGAATAAAGTGGTCTCACAGTGCTAATATTAAGTGAAAACGAAGAGGAAGATGTGACTAATAAAGCTGCATGGAATAAACTCCTTCAAACACCTGTATTTGTTTTTTCTCCCAAACTCGTTCTATGACGTCATTCCGCCGGCAATTTTTCCAACTAAGAGGGCGTGGCTTGCTGACGCATTGCGGCTCCCTCCCGGTGTGTACCGAGCAGAAAAAAAAGAGAGGAACGGCAGCGCGCGGGTGCATTTCTGCGCGCGCGCATGGCTTTCCCCGTAGCTGAAGCCGGAGCGGCTCCTTCCCAGTGAGCATGTCGAGCTTCAGTCACAGCTGAGGTGCCCGGCCCGAGCGGCACAAAGATGCAACACCTAACTTGTAGCTCATACCATGGTTTGAACACCTTCCAGACTGTTTTTGGTTTTCAGCTAGTCTCAAAATGACTACGCTGAACTCGAGGTGAGAAGCGCGGTTTGCTGTACGGAGGAGTGAGTGCGCACTGATTTCTTGCCCCCCCTCTTTTTTTTTTTTTTTTTCTTTTAATCCAAAGGGAAATAAGCCAAGAAACATTTTTTGTTGTTGTTGCAACACAATAGTTTTAAGACATTTTTATTTTTATTTTTTTTACGGAGCAATGACGACGGGACAGGATGAAAGTTCAGTCCGCGTGGCACTGAGGTAAGTCTCTGAACGTCTCCATCATTTTACTAAATGCGTAGCTGTCTTAATAGCCGGGTGCCACCTGTCAGTCAGCCCCGCGGGCCTAGCTAACATCTGCAGGGCATCAGCAGCGGATGCTGCTCCACAGACGTCCTTTGCCTCCCATCGTTTTGTCGCGAGGGAGGCATTTGTTGTCGACACTGTGGTTTAGGTTGAGATTTTTAGGCTTTATGGGGGATGTAGCAAAACAAAGGAGCACTTTTCGCCCAGCTCAGGTGCGCACGCACGAGCTCCATCCCCTTGCACGCGGCATCATGCGCTGGGAGGAGTGATGTTTATCTGATGCAGCGGCTCAGCTTCCAGACGCGGTGAGACAAAGAGAACCAGTCCGTTTTGTCCAGCAGCCTGGCCTGTCCTGTCCTCAGGGCCGCCCGCAGAGAGACAGATAATCGTTGAAAGAAGAGCTTCACGGTCAGCCACGTTTCAGGAGGAGGGGCGGCGGAGCGTTCAGTTCATCTGTCAACTCTACTTTCTGTCTGCACACTTTTAGTAGGGAATCCAGTGATGGACTGCACTGTTCAACCTCATTTCAATCAGATCAGCCTTTCCTTGCTTTAGAAGGAAATGTAGAGATTAGGGAATGATTATATTGCAGTGTGCTGTCATGTTGAAAAGAGCCACTCCCACCCATCTGGCAAGGAGGCAGAGATGGACTCGTTAAGGAGAAGCCTCTGTTCTGGTCATCATAAAAGCAACGCGTTGTTGATTTCTTCTTCTCCTTTCTTGTTGTTTTGAATGCAATCTTTGTCATGCTTGCACTTGCTCACTTTTCCACCGTGTCTGTCTGCACTTGCTCATAAAAGTGCGTCATCATTGCTCATTAGAAGATGCTCTGTGGGGAATTTTGTGTTTTTTGAAATTGGGAAAAATCTACTTTCAGATGCTGTTAAAAAATGTTGTTTAGTGGGAATTAAACCTTTTCATTGGGGTTTCTTTTAGAAAGGAAGAAACAGACTGAGAGACTGATTGAGGCCTGCTCCACAAGGCAATAAATCCATTAATCACATGATATATTAGAACTCGCTTAATAATTCTCATTTATTATCTTTTTTATTTTTGTTATTATTATTTCTCTCTTTCTTTCTACCAAAAGCTGGATGACAAAAGTCTTCACTCTGGATTTGATTAACTCTTTTTTTTTTTTGAAGGACAATTTTTGAGTCTTAAATAATTCATTTTATTTGTTGTTTCTGTTTTGTTGATTTGTTTTTCATATGTAAAATTTCTTCCAGTCCCAGTGTTAAACGTTCATTAGAACTTAAAAGTTTAATGATCTCTGATAATGAGTTCTTGCATCATTTGCCATTACTTCATTATTACTTGAAAATGATCTCAAAACAACAGTATTATTATTTATTGCAATAACTTCTGGGACAATTTGTCGTCCAGCAAAATGTGTTTTTGTGGCAGGTCTAACTGAAGATAATGTAAATTGGGGTGTCGATGTTCTATTGACAAATTTTTGGCTTCTGTTCTCCTGAACAAATCAGAAAAATGCACCCTAGAAGTCAGCTATTAGTTATGCTTTCTTTCTGGTGCAGAAGAAAGGACGTCAGAGTCAGATAAAATGCAACATGTCTGTTCTGTCTGCAGACATTTTCAAAAGTATCAGACACATATCCATTTAGTACCATGCATAGAAATGACACAAATTGGATTGGTGTTTTTGAGTGAAGATGCCGTTCAAGCTGTCATGAAAAAGACAAAGAAAGTAAAGAAATTTATGCAACACTAAAAAGCCACTTAGTTGCATTTGGAGTCCATATTGCCTCTGAAAAGCTGGTCTTGGACAGTAAGGGTCCTGCTAGCTGATGGGTTAAGATCCTAGCTTACTTAAAAGAAGACAGTCTTTCAAACCTGCATTGTGGAATTAAAAAAACAAACAAACCATTAGCTTCATATATCTGCATCAAGATTGGATGCTGTGCCCTTACAGTAAAACAGACGGTTGTGAGACAATGAGGCAACATAAAATAGATTTTAATTGGTGTGTTTGCACACATGATCATATTCCAATGGTTTTAGTGGGAGGTGTAGCTGGAGGGAAGGAAGACCTGCTAAACCTGCCTGCTGGGCGCCTTCTACAGAACAAACAATAAGTAACTATCTTGGTGGTGATAGGAGCAGCGTAGATCAAAGTGAAAGGGAGTAACATCAGCTTTGTTTATATGTGGTGGAACTACTTGGTGTGGTACTGTTGCCAAGCTTATTAACCACGAAGCACTCTACAAGATTTAAAGAAAGATCTCCCTTTAGTCACATTTTCCTCCTGTGTCGGGGCTTATTGATGTCGTCTCTCCTCTTCAGGCAATCAAATTTACGATAATGAAATTAAATAGATCCTTAAACCTCTTAAGGCTTAGGTTGCAGGCGTGCTTACATGTAATGGTGTTGAGGCATGCAGCAACTGGTATAAGTGGCTCAGTCTAAGCCTCGGGTTGGCGTTCACAAGCAAACAGCAGAGACATCTGTGGTTTAAAAATCTTGTTAATAAGAGCTCCGAGATTAGAGCTGATACTGGCTGATACCCAGTGACTAGAATGGACTTCATGTGTGTTGACAAGAGACAACAGCTGATGAAAGCTGTGGTGGTGGGGGGCAGGAGGGCTACAGAGCAAACAGAGATTAGGGGCCCCTCAGTTGAGAGGATAAGTCAGGTGCAGATTTGTAAACTGCTTAAAATATGGCAAAACAGCCACGAGTATTCCCAAGTATCTGTTTTTAAGATGGCACAACAATATTGTTTGGAGCATAACAGCTTTTAGTTTTGAACTGCTTTACGAAGAGCTGTATGTTTTTATCCTGAAAGACCAACCTGGGAGGGTAAATATTACAATATAAGTTATCTGGGAAAGTACACCGTAGAACCCTAGAAACCAGGCTGAGCTTCAGTGCACGGTGTTTGGATGAGTGTTGGTCACCCATGGCAGCGCCACACAAACATAAACCTCCAGACAGACTTAAAGTGTCTCATGCTTTGTTCGCATCCATTGAGCCGGAGCAGTCTGTCAGGAGGTGTTGAGGTCATTCTCTAAAAGCATTAAGTGCATCTTTTTCAAGATGTTCTGTAAGATCCTTAAACGTAGCTACTAAGGGCTTCTTAGCTTCTTCTTTTGTCGGAATCGTTCTCTCAGGTTCAGTGGGAAACTCCACGAGTTTCTGAGTGTTTTCACGCTTAATAGTCCAGTAGACTGGGTTCTATTGGGAACTAAAGTTGCTACATTTGTTATATTTTGAGCTGCTGCTCCCTTTCAGAACACATTGTGTCAAATGATCCAAACCCTTTGAAAAAATCCCATTCTCCCCCTCACCTGTGGCGGTGCTAAGAACTACTGAAGGAAACAACCCGACTCTGATGCAGTTCGAATACCAAGTGCACCAGAGACCACGCCAAAAGCAGGAAGTGTATTTACCCAGACCACTCTGGGTAATTACAAGCAAAACAAACATGCTTTTCTAACACTAGTGACAGAAATGGCTTATGGTCTTTTGCCAAAGAAGAAAGAAAAATTCTACAAACCCTAAAATCTGTTGCCACTTAATTTTTGTTTACATTTTGTGAAGAAAAGTTGCGCTTAGTGTCTTCTGAGGTTTTTGAGCTGTTTTCTTCAGTGGTTCTTGGTGCTGCGCCATCACAGCACACACCAAGAGGTGAACAGGTTTTTCCAAAGGATTTGGTTCATTTGACTCTGTGAACCACACCAGCTTGAAAACAAAACAAATCTACAGGACTATCAGGTGAGAAACCAGCCTTAAACTTCTCTTTGGCTTTTTCTCTAAACTGTCTGTTTTTTTTTTTACTTGTTTGTTCAGAAAGTTTTTAACAAACCTCTCATTTCTTTGCAGAATAGGGGCATGTTCACTGACATGAAATTAGACAAAGGTAAACTCTATTAGGCAACATCTGAAGTCAATTGCTTACCCTGAACTTCATTTACAGGGTGGGAGATTAAAAGGAGCTAAATGGGGAAAACCCTCCCCAAATTTTTGTGCCACCTTTTCCAACTGCCTCCTCTCAGTTATGTATCACTTTTCATTCTATTCACATGAAACAAAGCCTGTGAAGTTTGTGTTTTTAATGTGACAACATGAAAAAGTTCAATGGGTATGAATGCTTTTCCAAGTCACTGTACCTCGTGTTCATAACTTTGAAATACATCAACTGGATTTTGCAGCATTACAATGCAAAGATAATATGCAAATTGTGTTTTGTGATGTATAGAAATGTGTCCTTGATAAGTTCTTGGATTTGATGCACATGATGGATGGAAAAGGACATGTCAGTTTATAGAAGGAAACCACTAAACGGCTGTCTTGGCTTGCATGTGGAGGCTGCTTGGTGTGAAAATGCAGCTATTTGTGGCCGTCTGCATACTATTTGTGACCTGTTTTCATACTCGGTGATGGATATGAAGTTGCATCTGTGTCTTATTTGTGGCAACAGATCCACATTTAAGCCTCGTCCACTTTAGGTGAACCTTTCACTGGATAGGTGTCGGCATCAAGCAGCTGGAGATTACGGGGAAAACAAACATCGTACAAAATTACTCTTAAAAAGAGGAAATGCGTAACGCTGATGTAATATAGACCTAACATGAGAGGAAACAACATATTTTGAAGGGTGTGGTGTACATAAAGCTGCTCTGTAATTACATCCAATTCATTGAGCATGAGCTGTTGGTTTCTTAAGTGGTGCACCATTGTGGAGGAGGAGGATGTGTGAAAGCTTTTCTTTTTTTTTTTTTTTGTCAAACCAATGTCCACATGTGGGGACCGCACAGCTGAAGGCTTCCTGCATTGGTGCAGATGCAAACAGGCAGAAATGTGCTGACTCTTTAGGTGGTGATATAGATAACTGAGGTCCTCCAGCAATGCTGCGGCCAGTCGGGAGTCTATTTTGAGGCGAGTTGACTTTAAGTGTAGGCTATGGTTAGCGTCATAGAAGGGAAGAGCCGGTC